ATCTGCAATAATACCAAACTGTACAGAAAAGTACAATTTTCATGAAATTTTAAGAAGTTGAAGGCCTGTAAAAGTGTGCAAAGAAGGTCAACCATAACAACATGCTTTTTTGATTTATAAGTCATGATTATACAACAACATAAAACTAACAAGTTAGTCTTCCATAAGATATATTTCACCTGATAAAGGCATTCATTACAGTCAGTACATACTTCATCAAGACAAAGGACACAAAATACCTTAATATCAGGGTGAAAATATTTCATTTCCTTAAAAATAATTTGTTCAAAATTCCAATGCAAATTATGGATAAATCTTCATAACCTATAAATCATGGCCATGAAAAACCTTTTTAGGCAGTTCAAAATTCAAGAAAAAGATATAAACCACTGCCTCTTCTAAAACGCCTGTATCAGTAACCTATCCAAATGCCTTTTGTCAACAACAGCTACTCCCTATTCTCATTAAACTTTTTCAATCTGCTCATATTCTAAAGCAATTAGCTAGCCCTGAATTTATTTTCAATTTTTTTATTGCATTTTAAGAATTACTTATAGATATGGTGAATGTGCAATGTTTGTCATAAAATCTGAATTTGGCCAAGGATCAGTTTAATCAAGTTTTTGCTGTTGATTTACCCCTTTTAGTTTCATAACAGGGTAAATGGTCATAAAGTTTAAAGAATACTCTCTATTAATGATGCATGCCAGGTTTCTTTTTAAGAAGTTTTACAATGAATGACAGACAAAAGAGGATTGATTCAAAGTGATGGCTATAGCATTATGAACTTAAATTGGCCCTACGGGCCAGGTGACCTTAAAACAATATAGAAAACTAATGCTTTTTTGATGTTTATGAAGAGTTGTGCAAATGGACTTGACCATGTACAAGCTTCTTGGAACCATGGCAAATTAATTGATCAAAAACTTGATGTGCAACAGTTTACTTCCTTAGAAAGAATCTACCAATGAATGTTATGTTTTGGTTAGATGGTCTTTTTAAGGGTTCCATTTTCTATATTAAATGAACTATGCCAAAGTCCCGAATTCGCTATAGCAAACCCCAAAAATTGATATAAGAAAAAATGCCATGTCTCTCAAATAACTACAAGCCTTCAGGAAACATGGTCAATAAAAACAATAATATCAGCAAAGACCTACACACAATACACTGACCATACAATAGTAATACAATAGAATGATAACAGTATTAAGTATAACTGTGGTATGTAGATAACTGGATTAAACAATCAGATAATCAATTAAATACCCCTTAAAGGAGACTGTAATACTAGGGCAATGACACCATGACATCTATAGATATAAATAAGTTATCTTTAAATAAATTTAATTATCTTTTATTTTTATTGATTTTTATTGCTTATCAGAAATTTGAGAATTTTACCATCTGCCAGGAATGTTTAGTACCCAAAATAATGCAAAGATTTTCAAAATACCTTTTTTCAGACATGTTTTTTTCAATAGAATGTCAACATACTTTTTTTATTATCAAAATTAGGTATCAGGGACTGTGAAATTGAAAAAAGATACATAGTTTTCTAGGGATAAAGGAGAGGCGGAAGCTACCTAAGGGATATTCAAACTCGTAGGTTGAAGACAAACTGACGACATGGTAGAAAAACCAACAAACAACAGTATACAAAACACACTATAGAAAACTAACGCCTGAGCAACAAGAACCCTACCAAAAACCAGGGGTAATCTCAAGATGTTCCAATATCATTAGCAGATCCTGTTCCACATGCAACTAAGACATTTTCAAAGTAGTTCTTGATATTATTCATTGATCTCTTGCAATGCAATTTATCAGAAATTCCTGCTGTTTCTCACTATTCAACAATGCCTTTGAAAACATTTTAAATACCTGCCTTGGACTCTAAATCTTGTTGAAATATCTTTCAATTTTGATCTTCTGACAACCTACAAAATTCAATTAAAAATATCTACAAATGCAAAGGATTGGTTCTTATCAACCTTATTAACTCAATGTTGCAAATTTTTGAGATAGGGAAATATCAATATTCCATCAAAGTTGGTAACAGTAACTCAACAGTTCTATATCCAAATGCACTATTACTGATAATATTTTGTTCTGAATTTTTTTATAAGATGATTAACTTACACCCTGAGATTGATAATTCGTCAATATCCAGTTTAATGCATCTAAATCTAAATCAAATTTAAACTAAGCTGGGGAGTAGTTGTAGGGTAGAAATAAACAAAAAATATTTATTACTTTAATATACAAACATTTCTTACTTTATAATCAAGTTTTATCACAAGTATGTTGAAAGCAAATAGATGACAAGTATTGTTCTGAAGTTTATCTAAACCAAATTTAAATATAAAAATCAATAGGGATCTTCTAATTCATTACTGTAAACTAGTACTTCTTTCCAGCAAGGGAGATCATTTGCAAAAAATAATTATTTAATAGTTCGATTCATGATTTCAGCAATCAGTCTTGGAAAATGCTCTATACATAAAGCTTGTTTCCATGTTGTAAGATTAACCGTCAGTTGTTATACTAACTCTTGCTACAAAGCAATATAAAGGAGCAAGTGTACAATTTGGTTGTCTATGATTTGTAACAATATTACTAATATGAATGTGATAATACAGACAATGTAATATCCAAGGGGAAACATGCCTTTCTCAGGACTGATGCCTTATAAGCCTAACCAGCACATGTTTAAAATTTGACTCTTCATGTTTATGGTTCAGTACAAAGCATTGTATACAAATATAACATTACCATGCTATCATCATGAATATGCTGCTTTTTTATTATATGCATTTTATATTGGGTGATTGGTGTTCAGCACCTGTCTATCAATTAAACAATAAATCATTTCATTATATATATTTAATTCAACAACTCATATGAACCAACAAACATACATTGTTTTGTTATAAATAAGACTTTGAAGTGTTTCACATTTTTCATGTCAGGGCCTTTTATAGACAACTATACGATACGGATTTTTCTCATTGTTGAAAGTTGTACAGTAGCCTATAATTGCATACATCCACTTCATTGGAACTCTGGTGGATAGTTGTCTCATAATTTCATTAGAATAAACGTTGACTGATGTGGACCTTATGTTTGCAATGCTAATGACTGCAAGACTATGATTATAACCTGACATAACATGTGTACCATGAATAGATATGAAACTTGGGAATACCAGGTATATGAAACAACAATCAAACAACAAAAAAAGAGAAATGACTAATATGGTACTCAAGATTTCAATCAAACTACACCTGTTATATAATTTATTTAATTATAAATGAGACAAAAACCAGGGCGGAAAATGAAACTGAAGTATCACTTTTTTGCCTGTTGCAAAATTGGATATTAGTTCATGCACATCTTTCATTTATCACAAATGTTTTGACTATTTGAGTAAAAATTATTTAAATGAAAATGTATAAGTTCAATTAAAAACAAATTTAAAATTTAAAACTGAAATAACATTCCTTACTCAACAGACAGACAATAAATGTCTGACCCAGAACAAAATTCATTCAGAACTCGGTTTACAAGTTCATCAGATAACAGTTCATACTCGGTGAAACATATAATAACCAAGATCAAGTATTATATTAAAAAATCTTCAGGTTGAGTGCATGAAATCAAACATTATAGGTTATACAATAAAACTTTATGAAAGATGAACTGCTAAATAATCAATCTATTTATGAGCTCTTTAACTGACATACATCTTGAACAATTAGAGTGTCATTTCTGTTGAAGTAGGATCGTCATGCAAAGGATCGACTGTCAAAATAAAAAGGTTACACAGTACATAAATCAGAACAAGGAATTTACTATGTGGCTAACTCAAAGAAAGTTTTATTACCAAGTGAAAGGGAAACAATGTGCATCTAACTGCCATTGGTTCCTTCTAAAAATTGTTTGCCCCTCCTAAATCAGTGTTTGTTTGTTGTTATTATTTTAATGTTTTTTTTATGATTTAGAGAATTTTGTATTGGTGGCAGATCTTTGATAGACTGACTGTTCAATTACTGTAAATTCAGAAATTATTGCAATAATTTAAACTCGCAATTAGAAATTTTTTATATGAATTAAACAGGATTTTTCTCAATATCGCAAAAATTAAAATCGTATTTTAGTCTAAAATGAAAAAATCGCAATAATAAATGCACGCAATAATTTCTGATTTTACAATAGTTTACAATTTTTCTAGAAGCTATGTAAATTAGAGCTTGACGTATACTTGTAAAGACATGAGATTGTAAAGGGTCATGACACAGAATTTTATAAGTTTTTGCATACAATAGACATATGTTAAACTTGAATTAAATATTGAAAAACTAATGCATTTATCTCTTTTATTTTCTAAAATATAACTGAATGAATTCTTCTAAAATAAAAATTTTAAACAATTTTAAGAACTTTTATTCAATAATATTCTAGCAAGTATAACAGTTTAATGGGTTCTTTTTTTGAAATTTCAAATAGTATTCAACGTGCCCAAGTATTTTTTTCTACCATATATCTATGACATAGCCCATTTACTGTTCCTTGACCTAAATAACTCATTGAAAAAGAACTAGAGTACTGCATATGTACACTGCCCAACTAATGAATAAAAAGTCATGTGCCATAAACATTATTGGCATAGCAACCCAACAAAACATATTATTCAGAACTCACTATTTTTCAAAAAGAAGGAAAAAGTGGCTGCATTATATGACAAGCACACATTAGCCAAGACAACAGAAATGTTGAAATCAATTCAAAGCAATCACTACTAAATATCTGAAACAAAAAGACTAGATTCTCCAATAAAAAAAAACTAGAACCCCAACTTTAACCTATGGTCATATATATTCAACTTTTCACAGGATCTGTGTTAACTGAACTCTAAATTAGGTCAAAATAAATTGCTGCTTCTCTACTGAAACAGAAAGAATTCCAGAATGTAGTATAAGATAAATTTACCTAGGGGCCTTCTATTTCTTTCTGTTGTAGTATCAGAATATTCTTTACATCTGAAAATAATATCAATTTTCTTATTAAACAGAGAAAATTAAGATTTTTTTTAAAGATAAGTCTTGACTTCTAAAACAATTTAATCATTATCTATATTTTATGGTTATGAAGGTACATACAAAGTTTAAGTAGTTATGAAATCTTTTTGTTGATAGGCCATTTTTATTAACATTTTTATAGCTGCAAATATTATTTGATCTATAAACAAAATATCAACACAATCTACAAGTTGCTCAGAGACAAGTTACATTCATAGTAAAGTATTACGTCATCACCACTGTGCTCCCACAACTTTCAAAAGTTTTGCACCTGATTTACAAAATGTAATAACAACAGAAGTCTGTACTTGTAAGCATAAATATTTTTTTCAAAATCTTATTCCTGGTTTAACAAATGACTCATAATATAATTTTGTTTTAATTGTTCAAAATATTTTAAGATAATTCTGAAGTAAATCAATTATCAGTCCCCCAAAAAATATTTCTACATATTTTCCATTAGCTCCTGTTTAAATATATGACCATCCCGAGCAGCCAAAACTGGATGGACTATTGGCACCAAAGTCACAGTAGGAACTGCTCTATCATATTTGTTTGTAATTGTTTGACAGGTTACAGAGAAGATTTCTGCATCATACCTTTCCCATATATAATTGCTCTGTAAAACTTGTCCTTCTATTAGTAATCATATTTGTTTACCTGTCCTCTATAATAACATTAACAATACCAATTTTAATGCACCAGATTCGCAATTGGACATTAAATGTCTCTTCAGTGATGCTCGAGTCCAAAATATTTGAAAATCCAAAACGTAGAAGAGCTGATTAAACCAAAAGAGAACAAAAGTTTAGCCAAATACATTCTAGGAATCAGGGCTTTGCATGAGGGAGATATATTCCTTAGTTTAAAATGATTTCCAAAATTTTACAACAGCAAATTTCAATCAAACAATATTAGTATTTTCATGCCAGCAACAAAGTACTGACAACTGGGTTGGTGATACCCTCTATAAGTAATCATATTCGTTTGCCTGTCTTCTATAAGTAATCATATTTGTTGGCCTGTCTTCTATAAGTAATCATATTTGTTGGCCTGTCCTCTATAAGTAATCATATTTGTTGGCCTGTCCTCTATAAGTAATCATATTTGTTGGCCTGTCCTCTATAAGTAATCATATTTGTTGGTCTGTCTTCTATAAGTAATCATATTTGTTGGCCTGTCTTCTATAAGTAATCATATTTGTTGGCCTGTCTTCTATAAGTAATCATATTTGTTGGCCTGTCCTCTACAAGTAATCATATTTGTTGGCCTGTCTTCTATAAGTAATCAAATTTGTTGGCCTGTCTTCTATAAGTAATCATATTTGTTGGCCTGTCCTCTACAAGTAATCATATGTGTTGGCCTGTCTTCTATAAGTAATCATATTTGTTGGCCTGTCTTCTATAAGTAATCATATTTGTTGACCTGGCAGCATCATAGATAAGTATGATACCAGATATTATTCAATAAACTTTAAAGGTATACAAAGTGAAATTTTACAACAGATGAATGGTTCCAAGCAGTATTGCTTAAAGATTTTCATGGAAAAAACAAAGTGTCAAATAGCAAAATCTTTACCATATCATTAAACTTTTTGTGGTCATGTGAAGAAAAACATTCTACAACTTGTTCCTGTAAAAATTAAATACTGGCATTGTATTTCAAGCACAGTAAATACCACAAAAAACCCATATTCTTTATTCAGATGTCCATTTCCTGTTATGAAAATACTCAATGATATATTATGTCTGTTTTATGACAAATTTTTATGAGGTTAAAAGATATAAGGTTAAAAACTCTTATCAAAAGATCAAATAGATATACACTAAAACTGGACATGGTCAGTTGCTTGACCAGAAGGTTGGACAAATTGATTTATGTATCAGACACATTAATGTCCATCAGGTTTTATTACCTCTATCTCACCTGGACAGGTAGTTAACTACTTATTTTATGTTTAGTTTATTGACACACCTCTGTTCAACAGATTAGTTCCCTGTGGTCCTGTCATTAAATCATGATAGTACTGACCAACTGTACAAAAAGATACTTTAGAAAACGATTATTGATAACCAATGCAACATTGGCTAAAAAACTGTTAGGTTAAAAAGTATGGAAAACATTTAAGAATTGAATGCTTCTTTTTGTAAATTTATTGGGGTGTAAAAGCATTGACCGAAATAAGTTTTGTATGAAGCGCAAGTGCTTCATTCTAAAAATGTACGCACAGTCTTTTACAACCCTATAAAATTACTAAAAGAAGCATTCAATGCTTATAATTACATTTTTTTTGCTAGGATCATGAAAACATGATTTCTATCAAGTTTTTCTTTTATTTACCTGTGCACTTTATTGTGGAAGCTTGTGTCATCATGAATGTTACATTTCATTTTGAAACGAAGATTAATTTCAGAATGACCCGAGATTGCTGTTAGACAATCAAAATTACATATTATAATGAAACATACATGTAATGTAATTATTGTAGGATGAACAGTACTTTGATTTCTGGCAAATGTTCAACAAGCCTATCCTTGTCTCAAATACAAAATTTCTTAATAAGTCTTTCAATGCAAGGTTTTAAAAAATACCTTATAAAAGTTTTGAAAAAAATTGTTTTAGATTTTTCAATAATAAATTATTTGACAGGTAACAAAAAATTGAGAAAAGTTTGTCCCTAATTGGGATTTGTAACAGAGGCTGCAGGCTTCCTAGTGACTGGGTCATAATTCTACACATAAAATCATTAGAAAGGCGTTGAGGTCGGATGGATATGCTGAAGACATAAACTTAGCTCTGGTACTGAACTAATACCAAAACTCACAGTAAGATTTTCAGATTTAAATCCATTCAATGGCTAATGTTGATACAATATGACTCCCATTGTAATAGTATAATTCTACTGATGTTACTATCCTACTTAGTATCTCCTTTTAATCTACAACAAATTTATACAGATTTCCCTATTAATTATCAGAATGGGTGACCCTAAACCCAATAACTTTTGAAAAATGATTAAACCAACCTTAGTGACCAACCATCAATAATATATGAGTGATCTGATTATTGGTCTCATGCTAACATATAACATTAACATAATTTTTATTATAATCTTTGTCTTATGCTAGAAAAGACTTCAAACAGAAAACAACCAGTGAATATTAGTTCCTTGCCAATAAACCTAATTAAAACAACACTTTACTTGTAAAAAACTTATTTTAGGTTAATGAATTCATATTCCAGGTCTTGACAGTGATATAATTTGGAAGAATTTGTTTCAGAAGATAAATATTTGTACAATTTTATGACCTATAATTACTGAAAACATATCAATTCTACAGGAATCTTGTTTTCTCATATTTTCCAATAATATTTTTGAGGATATTATTTTTTAGGCTTTGAACTCGGATGTTATTTTATATACATTTGACTCTCATTACCACACATTTTTTCTCTCTCAGAACTCTTTTCATCTCAAAGTCATCTTTTCCTTCCTTTTTTACTCCTCATATCTTAAAATTCTAGTTCTCAAGTTATTTTTGTCTGTCCAATCATTTTTTTACTGTCAAAAGTCTGAATTATTTGGTTTGGTCCAGTTAATGAAGTAAAAGATGCTTCTTCTTTGAAACAAACATCCAGTCATATAAAAAACACAAGAGAGCACACACTGAAATGTCTCGGCTGTTTTACTGACCATTGATTTTATGTTGAAAGTCTTAAAGATAAAGGTTTTACTACAAGTATCACATAAACTTAACATTTTTAAAGATCCATGACAATGAGGTCAAGGTCAGATAAATCCTGTCAAACAGACATGTTCAGCTTACTTTACAATTATTCCATACACCAAATATAGTTGACCTACTGCTTAAAGTATTTGAAAAACCGACCAAAACAGAAAAATTTAACACTGACCAATGAACACTGAAAATGAGGTCAAGGTCAGATGATACCTGCCATACTAACATGTACCCCTTACAATCATTCCATACACCACATATAGTTGACCTACTTCTTAAAGCATCTTTGAGAAATGGACCTAATCATGTAACTTTAACCTTTTTTACTGATCCATACAATGAGGTCACGGTCAGGTGAACTGGGTCTAACGGACATGTAGATGTGGCAAGGAGCCTATATACCAAAAAAAGTTTTCCTATTACTCATAATAGGTTAGAAATTCACCTGACAAAAAACTATAATTGTTTTTCAAGCCGTTCCTGAACCATGAAAATGAGGTCAAGGACAATGGACAAATGACAGACGGAAACTTTATAACATAAGGTATCTGCAATCATACAAGGTATGGAGCATTCAGGTCTTCTAACTTCTGAAATATAAAGCTTTATACAAAAAGTTTACATCACTGCCGCCGATGCTGCCACTGTCAGATAGAAATTCTTAGAAGGCCAGACAAAAATCAGAACTTCGCAGATAAAGAGCAATAAAATATGTATGGTCCTGTAAAGATATGATACATACTAATAAACTGTGGACACAGAGATATGTCTCGCTTGTGTGTAATTTTGATATTAAAATGGCAACATGTGTAAACTATGCAAAACATCTAGAGTCTTATATAATTGACTTGTACAATGTACCATTAGGGGTTCCCTCAAACTGTCCTAATCATCTAAACTAAGCAAAAGTTTCAAAGTCAATAGACCATGTCAGAATGAGTGGGCGGGGCCCAATAATCTCCATAGAAATGAGATGTGACAATGCTTAATAAAAAGTATGGGTAATGCTGAAAACGCATAACTAACAGCTCCTGATTCCAATGTCCCAATGCTTCTTTAACTGCATACCAAACATCAATGACATACCATTAATGGTTCCCCGTAGACTGACCTAATCACAAACTTTAAAAAGTTGTTAACACTAATATAGCAACAACTCCAAATTCATGAATTCGTTGAGTGCAAAAGAATGAAAATCTCCACAGGAACACCCTTTTTCAATTAAATCTTAAATAAAAAATTGTTTCAAAACTGAAGTAAATCATTGCTCATCTGAACATACTTTTATATACTGGGCTCATATTCTTTGTAAATCCCCAAAACATCTCTTTGTATTTACTTGCTGTATTTTTTGTCCCTGTTAAACCTAAGTACATGTACTCAAGTCTTCCTATCCTTCAAATTTTTTTTTACCCCTCAATTTACAATGTTAAACAACCTTACTCTGACAATGTATAATTGTTCCACCTAACAGAAGTTCCCATGGAAACTTTGTTTATATAAATAATGCCATAACATCTGTTCCTGTTGGAACACAAATTCTATACCATTTATTCCGTTACAAATACTGTAATATTTGTTCTAGCGGAAATAATATTCTAGAATATTATTCAATTTGGAACTAATATATATTATGAAGGAACTCTTATTTCATAAACTCTAGCATTTGAATCCAGCTCGTCTAATGTGGAACAATATTCTTCAAGTATGAGACTTCAGCTTGAAATAATATGGAAAACCCTTACTCAAGAATGTCAATCCATGAACTTATTTTAATGCTCAACAGGTAAACCACATATCTGATTATAAAATAATTTTATCAAGTCAAATTAAAGTGTACAATACTGTGGATGACACGAGTGGTCACTCTAACTTAAATTTTGTTTATGGCACCTTCAATAATCTTGTCAAAACCACAAATAACAACAATATTACTAATAACCATAATATGAAGAACAATAAGTAGCCAAAGAGGTGGAGTAGTAATTACTGACTTTTTGTATCTTCAAATTTGATATGACCGTAGGGCATGAAATAATGATGAACTACTCACCTTTCAATAATGTTGGTTTCCTTTTTTGTGTATTGGATAAAATTTCATCTTTATATATATTTAATAGGTAGAAAACAAGTTAAATTAGGTGTAAATTGTAATAACAACAAATGGGATGTCTACTTCAATTATGATACAATATATCATCACCGAGGACACATAAGGGGAACACAATTTCACTGAAGGATAATCTATTTGTTCATTCATATAAAAATTGTCGGAGAAAGTGGGTTGACAGCATTACTGTGAGGGACAAACAAGGTTAACTTCAATCATTACAAGGACATGGTCAATTGCTTAAGACTAAATAGTTGGAAGTGGAGGGGGTATTAGATAATCAAATCATCCATGTTCTTGTCAGTGTCAAAAGACAATTTTCAGAAACTAAATGATATTTAGCCATATACCAGTAATGTAGGGAGAAGATTTATTTTGGTAGAATATTTGCTGTAAAATGAAGGTTTTATACAGACCCATACTTCACACTTCACTTATATTGATTAGGTTAAAGTTTCTCTGTCTTATACTGTAGATTCATTTATTTTGGTGGTCAACATACATCATGGATTGAGCAAAAATTGATTTTGTGTATGGTAAATTCTGCACACATTTCTAATTCTTAATTTGTGTTTTGTTGAACACTTAAATTTGCAGTTAACCCTTACCAATTAAAATCCACAAAAATAGTTTCATTTTGACCTTCAGTATAAAATAAGAAGATGTGATATTATTGCCAATGAAACAACTATCTATCAGAGACCAAAAAACATAGATATAAGCAATTATAGGTCACTGTACAACCTTTAACAATGAGCAAAAACCATGCCATATAGTAAGATATTGTATGCTTCACTGCTTCACATAAGTTCATGTCTTAGATCTATATACATTTTGTAAAAGTACCTACATTTCCATCCTATTTACATGCGAGTGAAATTTTTCTTTTATTACTGTTCTAATTCTCAGTTGTGGAGAAAAATAAGTTTTACTATGTTTTTAATTTTTACACAGATACAGATATGGATATCAAGGGCCTTTTTATCATTCTACTATAAATAATTGAAACTGGTCCTTTTTTTCTGTACAAAAAATGATGACAAACATTACTTAAATGTTATAAACCCTGCCACATGTTCATGTGCCCATCCCAAAACAGGAATTTCTTCGGTGGTAGTCTTAAGTCATGGCACATCTTTGATAGTATCTGTTTTATTCCTTCACATCTTTTACACACCCAGTCCCAGGCATGCATAATTACCTTGCATCATTACACACCCAGGCATGCATAATTACTCTGCAGCATGTGGCCAAAATTTATGTTAGTTTTCTGAAGGTCATGGAGTTTAAAAATAAAAAGTATTCTGGTGTCCTCACCAAGAAAACTGATTTCAGCAACTATAAGAAAAGCATGTCAATGTAGGTCATACCCACGTATAAAAGTAAGTGGTATTGAGCCATAAGCTTGGTTGCATATCAAAGAAGTTTCACAGCACCTGTGTGAAAAAGTTACTGTCTACTTTTTACTTGGATCTGACAACTGTCTTGATGAAAAGGTTGCAAAAGTGGATGTTCTTTAAAAAAAGATGCAAAGGCAAAACAGACATGGCAGTACCATAGAGGTAACAACTAGATATCATTGAGATGGGAGCCATCTCTGTGGGCCCCACTGTGAATAATGTGTGGTAAAAAATCTTGTATCTTTATCATTGGACATGGGTTTGTCAACTAAAACCAAACTTTTTGACCTTGACCTTTGACCTAGGAAGTTGTACATAAATTATGACACACCCTCTGGTATTGGTTTATATACATATCAAGTATAAACTTTGAAATCATAACGGTTCTCAAGATATAGAGCGGACACGATCTTTACCATAGGACATGGAGTTGTCAAATAAAACCAAAGTTTTTGACCTTGACCTTTGACCTAGGAAGTTGTACATATATTATGACACACCCTCTGGTGTTGGTTTATATACATATCAAGTATAAACTTTGAAATCATAACGGTTCTCAAGATATAGAGCGGACATGATCTTTACCATAGGACATGGGGTTGTCAACTAAAACCAAAGTTTTTGACCTTGACCTTTGACCTAGGAAGTTGTACATACATTATGACACCCCCTCTGGTGTTGGTTAATATACATGTCAAGTATAAACTTTGAAATCATAACAGTTCTCTAGATATAGAGCAGACACAATTTGTTTCGTACGGATGGACGGACGGACGAACGGACGGACAGACTGATCACTATTGGGCGTCCGCCATTCGGCGGGGCTCTAATAAGTAGTCGATCTATAAACAATCTACTGACTATAAAACCAAGCCATATGAACAAATATCTGTCAAACTTGATACTCACTGGTTATACATATTCCAACATTTCTTCTGTTGTTTTACTTTTGCAAAACTCAGCTCTTTAATCTACAATAACAAAAAGTAATTTTCAAATTGTTGGTCATATGGAGATCTTTTTGTATCATACATATATATATCTCTAACCACAAACTACATAGAACTATCATCCGACTTTCAGGGAAGTTCTAACTTCTAATACTGGCTATTAATCCGCTTATTCCATATATTTCTATTGCTTCATCTCATGTTCAGATATCCTAAAAGATAGTTTCAGTCCACCACATGTAAATGAGCATGCTCCAAGTCAAGAAGCCATTTTTTGTTCATTTTTATTAGTGCTTTAAATTTGATGTTTATTGTAGATATTTGGTAAAGTTATCTTTTTTGTGTCAAGAATTAAATTTATAAATTACAAGATATGGAAGTGCCCAAAAGGTGACCAAATTGGTCCATCTCTAAATATAACTCTTGCATCTGTCAACAACTCATTACAACATATCCTTTCTTTTTCATTCTGTTACATGAGAAGATGTGGTAAAACACTTTTTGGTCCTGAATATAAATTCCTTTATATTAAGATGAAAAGAGTTTCAAGTTGATGGATAAACGTATGAGAAAGTGAAATAGAATGATTTGTGTCAAGCTTTTCTAATAAAGCATTAACATTTTCAACTCATATAGGCCAAATAGATATGACTAAGTTTTATTGATTTCAACCACATTTAGGCAGGGTTCAACAAGGCTTTACCCAAAAAGATATTTTTCTGCAAGATGTATTTTACAAAGATGTTTACATGTATGTGCATAAAATATTCTATGGGGTAAAGCCTCGGCTCATATCTTTTTTTATTCCAAAACTATGTGTAAAATGGCCATTTTAGGTCAAATATGTCAATTTTAACATGTTTATAAATGATATCATAGTGATTATATAAGTGACCTTTCTGCACTTAAATGTCAAGATTATATCAACTTGTTCATTTATCAGTAAAGTTTGCATAATCTTGATAGGCTTGAATAATTTTCTTATTTTTTTGGTAATTTCAGTGGCTTTTATCATACCCCCTCCTTTGATGCACCTATATGTCAATTTCCAAAAAAAAAAGTTCTATTTCCTATTTGGTTATTGTTTTAAGAGGAATACATTTTGTTAATAGCCATTTAATACTAGTTTTAAATTTTAGGCTAGAAATAGGGGCCATATTAGGACCTTATAAAACCATGGAAGTAAATTGAAAAAAGTCAATATAATACTTTCGTGATCAAACCTCTATTAGCATTTTGTAAAGACTTTTAAAGACAATTTACAACTTGAAATAAGGTATTTTTTAAATTTGTTTATTGTTAAGATGTTATGTTGACCCTCAGATGTCTTCCTTATTGTTTTTATATGGTTGGGTCAGTCTCATTGATGCTAAATTCACATCTGTTCTTTATTTTCAGCTTGAAAGTTTATCAATGATTCAATCAATGCTAGTTCTAGGCACAACATTATAAATGTAGATTGTACCTTTCTACAGGTTTTAGAACTGATTCAATCAATGCTAGTTCTTGGCACAACATTATAAATGTAGATTGTACCTTTCTACAGGTTCTTAGAACTGATTCAATCAATGCTAGTTCTAGGCACAACATTATAAATGTAGATTGTACCTTTCTACAGGTTTTAGAACTGATTCAATCAATGCTAGTTCTAGGCACAACATTATAAATGTAGATTGTACCTTTCTACAGGTTTTATAACTGATTCAATCAATGCTAGTTCTAGGCACAACATTATAAATGTAGATTGTACCTTTCTACAGGTTTTAGAACTGATTCAATCAATGCTAGTTCTCGGCACAACATTATAAATGCAGATTGTACCTTTCTTCAGGTTTTAGAACTGATTCAATCAATGCTAGTTCTAGGCACAACATTATAAATGCAGATTGTACCTTTCTACAGGTTTTAGAACTGATTCAATCAATGCTAGTTCTAGGCACAACATTATAAATGCAGACTGTACCTTTTTACAGGTTTTAGAACTGATTCAATCAATGCTAGTTCTAGGCACAACATTATAAATGTAGATTGTACCTTTCTACAGGTTTTAGAACTGTGTGGAGTGTGACTTTAGAATCATTAATGACAATTGTATGACTCTATAGAATTTCCATGTCTTCTGACATATATATTTTAAAAGATTTAAAGAACTTTCATAAAGAAATTTGATAAATAAAATCCATTTTTGGAGTTAGGTGCCTCAGTACTGATTTTCATTGTATCTTCATTTATATACAAGTGTGTTATTCCACTTATCAATTAAAGGACAGAGGGAACCAAATTGAGACCAGAAAATTAGTTTAACTCTGCATGGACCTTATCTGTGCATGGTTGTCTTTTGTTATACCTTTTTTTTTTTTTTTAGTTTCAAATTTTTGATTGCAGATCTCCGATAATTTCTAATGTTTATTCACAACTGTTTGTCTTATGTCAATTGTAAATGATCTGACATTTTTTTATACCTGCAGAAAAATATCTATTGTTGACCACTAGATGTTTTTAAGTTGTCTATCTTGTTGGGTTGCTGTCTCATATAACCCTCATCTCCTTTTATTCTCTCTGAGCTTCCTCCAACAATAAAGTCTGGGTGCCATGATATAGTCAGTAGTACTGAAACTGTTGCTTATACCACCACCAGCAATCAATCAATCAATTAGTACTGAAACTGTTGCTTATACCACCACCAGCAATCAATCAATCAATAAGTACTGAAACTGTTGCTTATACCACCACCAGCAATCAATCAATCAATTAGTACTGAAACTGTTGCTTATACCACCACCAGCAATCAATCAATCAATTAGTACTGAAACTGTTGCTTATACCACCACCAGCAATCAATCAATCAATCATTTTATGCATACCTTTCATAATTTGGGGATTGTAATGGTCTTTTTAAAGGTTTGTTGGACTGTGGCATTTAAATTACTATTGTCTCAATGACGTCAACATCATATTTGTTCTTCTTTATTATTCAGTATCGACTATCAATTTGTTTGAACTTGAAATATAATCTAAAGCTACTATTACACCATGTACACAGACAATATCATTTATCAAAGAAAAATATATTAACCAGATATCTAGAATACATTCTAAGTTTTTAAGATTTAATATCTGATAGGCAATAATTGAAGGCAGTAGAATTGTATCAAATTAGCCATACTGAAAAGTAATATACTTTCATGACAATATAATGGGTGGAGGCTGGTATGCAATCATATCTACTAGAAAATAAAATCTTATTAAATTACTTAGTTCTTAACACTTGCCAAATTGCAAGAATTCTAGTATCATGAAATAATAAGCTGTTAATATATATGTATTAGATACACCTATGAGTAACGCCCGATTTGGTGTATCTAATTTACACCAAGATATTTTTGTCAATGCAGAATGATAGTTTTCAATAATAATTTAGGAGGGGGGTCATTCAGCAATTTTACCATGTTATTGAAAAGCATGATATGAAGGGTATCCACTTTCATTTAACAACATCTTGGTGTAAATGTAGGTTGTTTTTGATATACTGTAAATCCAGAAAATATTGCGATGTTTTTATAAATGCGAATAATGCGACTGGCTGAGATTTGCAATAATACAAACTTGCATTCTGATAGCAGGATACATATATCTATTTTCAGATTTTCCTGAAAAAGCAATAATTAATCTTGCATTTTTGTCCATTCTTCAAAAATCACAAAAATAAATGCACACATTTATTTCTGAATATACAGTAGCTTCAATCTTGTTTCATTCTGCAACTCAACTCCTTGTTATTTTTTTCAGATATTTTTTTCCTGGTATTGTGTGAAATAAAATATGGTATGATTGCCAATGAGACAACTATCCACCATTGACCAATTGGTGAGATTGTAAGTAATTATAGGTCCTATACTATATGCTTGTTGCTTTTATCTTTAATAGTTTATATATTGGTGAATTAACGTAAAAGGAAAAAATAACTTTACCAATAATATATGTAAATCTTTTTAGGAACTTTGTCATTGAGGTGAATAGGTTAAGAGTGTATATTAAAGGTTAAGAGTGTATACTAAAGTGTAGATTAACTAAAAGTCCTTCAAAGGGCTTAAAAACTTAAAGAGAAACTCTTATCAGTATATTATTTATTCCTTTATTATCTGTTACATAATTTTCAATTTAAAGACAGGAAATTTTTCTCAGCATATTGAATTATCACTGAACTGTGTCAATTCAAGAATTCTGTAATTTTAGTGCATGCCAACACTTTAACACTTTTTATTGAAAAGAAAGCCAGAATACAGTTTAGACTATAGTTTATCAAATGGTGAGAAAATTTTAAGTAAAGCAAGGCAGCCTGGAAAAGACTTGGGGAAAATGTTATAGAATTACTAGTTTTAGATTACATGACCATATAAATTGGAATTTCATTATATTTTTCATTCTTTTGGTCCCTAATTTCTGTAGGTCAATAAAGAACAGCACTATGTATCTTTTGAATTAGAAAAGGTTATCATTTACTGGTAACTAATTTCAAATTTATGCAGCACATTCTTCGTCAAGAAATCAGGAAATGCACTAATATATAAGACAAACTATATCTTTTCTGAAATATAGATTTTTTTATTACAAGTTTTTTTGCCAGGGGGGGGGGGATTCTCTCATTGTAGTATGAAATGGATTGATTGTTGGTGTTAACACCTGCCAGGTGACAAATATATCATGGATATTTGAAATTACATTTCAGAAATGTTTGTTTCTTAATCTAAGGGAAGTAACTCAAAAGATGCTATAGGACTTATTTACTAACAGTCAAGAATTATAAAGAGTAAAATAAAGTTGATATTTATATATTTCATATCAGCATGGTGGAACAAATCTTTAGACTTAATATAATTTTTTCTTGTTTGTATAGTACTTTAATTTCCTAACTGGACACAGCTTCATCTCTTTATAAGAATTAATCAAACAAGGGGATGCAAGCAAACACAACGGACTACGTACATACACACTCTGTCATGTGTTTTGATATTCTGATGTAAATCATAGTCATGATAGTACATTGTATCTAAAGTACAGTACCAAGTAAAAATATCAACATTCTGGTTCACATCATTTTAGTATTTTTTGTTCCTGCTACAGGATAAATAGTTTTGTTTATTTACTGTAAGTTCATAAATTTTAGCTATGTTTTATCATTGCTAAAAATATTAGTGTCATGTATTTAGAACTTCCATTATCTGGAACTCACATTTTAATACCAATTGCATTATTTGAATACTTATTTCTGAAATCACATTGATTTATTTCACATTTTTGTCCATTGATCCATGCTAACAAAAAATGCAATAAGAATTCTCACAATGTTTAAAAGACCTTTCCTAGACTTTTTTTCTTAACCCAATTTTAATTAGTATAGAAATTGTAAATCTCTTCCTCTTATGTGATATATGTTGGTCATTTTTACATTCTATATAGCTAGTCCAAATAATTATTTGGACTAATAAATAGCATGCAAAAATTTCATAATTTTCATTATTTAAAATATCGAATAGGAAAGTTCTGCCAAGCTTGTCAACCACTGAACCAGGATTGAGGATGGTAAAGTTTGACTGCCAGTGGCGTAGCTACCATTGACGCAACGCACACTTGCGTGCACAAACGAAATGGCCCCAAAAAAAATCATAATTAAAAAATCATAGCAGTCAAAAAAAAGAAAGAGTGCGTTTGACTGTCACTTTATATATATAGGTTTTTCAACTTGTCAGAAAGGTTTCCGTGTTTTCTATCAGTTCAGTTTTGTTGTGCGTACATGGGTATATACTATTTTTAGACCATCTACTAAACGAACTACGAGATCGTCTTGTCAGTTCAGAAGAACGTTTTCTTGCCCAGATGCTTCTTCCAAACAATCTGAAAAGTTTGAATCGGGACCATCAAATTCGCATATTTCACGCCTACGAGTCCGATCTTCAATCAAAAGATCAGTTTCTTCTCAAAATTAAAAGGTGGGTTGCGCGATGGGATATTTATCCATCTAAGAAACCAGACCATCTCTGTGCAACATTGAAGATGACGCCGAAAGAACTTTGCCCAAATGTATTCTGTATTCTGAAAATACTTCTCACCATGCCACCCTCAACCTCTACTGCTGAACGCTCTTTCAACGCTCTGAAACGCGTAAAAACGTATCTGAGATCGACCATGGGACAAGAAAGACTTTCTTCACTTGCACTGCTGCACGTTCTTTCTGATTTTGACATTGACACTATTAAAAGAAGTTAACACGTTTAACAATGCTAGGCAAATGAAAATGTTACTCTCCTAAAGGACCTCGGTTGTTAACTTCAGTCTTACATACGGTCTTACATACGAACGTCACATTCATATATCACCAAATTAAAAATTGATTGTTTGAATTGCTTTGTTTTCGTATGTTAACATATATGTCATGAGATGATCCAGTTCACTAGCCCTTTCTTTCTTTGAAGCATAATAAATTGGCGAGCATTGCAAAGTTTTTAGAATTTTTTAGTCAGTTTTAGGTCTTTGATTTGATATACTAGTATAGCAAAACACTCAACTGTGCATACTTCACTTCAGAATTAAACATCTTAGATCGAAAAAAGATTCTTTTTTCTACGCTCGGCAACTTCTGCGTGCAGATCATTATAAGTCTAGCTACGCCACTGACTGCCACAGGGACAAGTGTATAAGATTGATAGTGGAAAAGTACTGACCCTAATTTGTGGAACTTGTGACAGTAAACACATACATATTTATCTAGTATTTAATTTTCAGGCTTACTTAGCTTCTATGTGTAAATTTTATAATGAGCATCTATTGTTGGAAACTTATTTTTATATGACACAAGCAACAACTACATACAATAATTAAAAACCAAACAGGGACAATCTACTGTGCCTTTGGGTTTCTGTGAACAGTAAGTTTTCCCCGACTCGTGCGGTCTCTCGCGTGTTCTACTTTCGCTTTCACAATCACATGTCCTAATCGTCGTTTTTCGACAATTTCCGTAGGCATTTTCCCGCGCTTAACATTACCCACCTTTTTAGCTCACCTGGCCCACAGGACCAAGTGAGCTTTTCTCGTCAATTTAGTGTCCGTCGCCGTATTTACAAATATCTTCTCCTCTAAAACTACTGGACTAAATTCAAGCAAACTTGGCCCAATCATCATTATGGTATCAAACGTGAGGCTACCCAAATTGCACCTATTTTGACAGTTTTTTCACCTACGTTTATTTATGATCTAGACAAAAGTTTCCATTCTGTGTTTATTTTGTAGATATATTATTATTTACTATATAGTTCCACCAATTTAATTTTGAATCCATATTGAATCATAGAAAAATGGGTTTGAACAGACCTCCAAACGACCAATAATTCTGTAATGAGGAGTACCCAAATTGCATCCATGCTTAAATTCACATCCTCAAAAGTCGAATAACAGATATTTTGTTTTATTTCTTTAAATATTTAGAACAATTTGACATTAGTCCATGCTTACTATTCATTTTTTAAGAAATGAATGCTTGTAACATATTTTATTTGCTAATATAATTTTTAAAAGGTGACTTTTTGTGGACGTCGCATGGCGACGTTTCCGTACATTTTACCAGAGACATATAATACAATTGTATTATAATTGTATTATATGTCTCTGATTTTCCTTTTTCCAGTGAACACTTCATCTGTTTATATATACTGTGAATTTTTTGTGTATATTTAAATATATATACCTATGTTGAAAGACGTGCAAAGTGTCAAATCATAAAAATACAAATTGTTTAGTCTCTAGGAAAACTTGTAAGATTTCCTCTGCTATTTTCATTAGATAGGTGTAATTTGGGTACTCGGTGCAATTTGGGTACCGTGACGTTAGCCTTTAAAACTTATGTCCGATGACCCGCCTGCTAACCTACATGTCCGACATGGCTAAAAATAGAACATAAGGATAATATGCAAGTTTTGTCTGTTATCTTGAAAACCAATTGTCCGTTAAGCTGTTAACCATGTTAACATCATAACTGTCAGATGAATTCTTATAGGAGTTATTGTCCTTAGATGACGAATTTTACCATTTTTTTTCATTTTTTGTCTTTGAGGGAGAAGCTTTAAATGGCAAACATTATCTGTAAGATCTACAAATATAAAGTCAACGAGATCAAAATCGTCAGTCGCTCCTTTTTGGAGTTATTGCACTTCAATGATGAGTTTTCTCATTTTTTTGGTGTTTTTGCTTTTTATCTGAAACAAATATAAATATATAATAGATAGATCGAAACTTAGATAAATAAAAATTATCAGCAAGAAAAGATCAACAAGTAAATCAACATCGTAAAAATCGTCTGATGTTCCTTTTTGGAGTAATTGCCCTTTGATGACGATTTTTGTCTTTTTTCTAATTTCTAACAAAACTATAATAGATAGATCAAAACTTAAATAAGCAAACATGATTAGCAAGACAAGATCTACAAATAAGTCAATATTGTCGAAATCGTCAGACGACTCCTTAATAGAGTTATTGTCCTTTCATGACGGTTTTTGTCGTTTTGTTTGCGTTTTTGTCTAATACCTAAAGAACTATATAAGATAGATCGAAAATTTATGCCTGCTGAAAAGTAAGTTACTAATAAAAGTTCATTGAAATCTGAGAAGCCCATATCGGCACAAAGTGAGAAATGTACACATCATTAACCAGATTAGAAATACCCAATGATCATCACCACAATGGAAAGTAAATTAACATTACAGAATTGAATGCTGTTTTTTTTAATTTATCCATATGAAATGAAAGCAAGTGACAATCACATGCTAAAAATGTGATGGTCACTTGTTTTTTTTTAATTATGAATGAATTTTGAAAACGCAGCTTTCAATGCTTATATTTACAGATTTTCGAAATAAAAAATATAATATACTATCCACATTTTGAATCTGTGAAAGTAAAAAACCTCAAACACAAAACATCGGCAGAAATTGTCTAGTGAGAGGTAGTATCATTCCACGTGAAATCAATTATAATACGTCATATAGCTGAAATTGCCATACCAATAGGAGATATGGTATGATTGCCAATGAGACAACTATCCGCTAGAGACCAAATGACTTAGATGTTAGTACTGAACTATAGGTCGCCATACTGCCTTCAATAATGAGAAAAACTCATACCAAATAGCAAGCTATAAAAGGCCTCGACATGATATACATTACAAACTGTAAAACAATTCAAACAAGAAGACTAACTGTCTGATTTATGTGCAAACAACAAACGAAAAACAAATATGATGTACAGTAACAAACGACAATTAACCACTGAATTACAACACTAATTGGCAAAATTATAATTATTACTTAAAAATCGTCATTTAAAGTAAGGGCAATAAACCCATTAAGGAATCGGACAAATTTGCCTTGTTAACTTATTAGTAGATCTTATTGTGTTTATCTATCTTCTTTAGATTTGGGACAAAAATACAAAAAATGGGTAACAATCATCATTCTGGGGGAAATCACACCTCTAAGAAGTTTATATTTTCGTTAGTTTTCTGTTTTTAGTTGTCCTACATTCCTGAAAATAACACAGGAGATGGAATTTGAACTGCTAATTTTTACCCATGTCAGTTCTGACTGTTTTAGTTATTTTTAGATATAAACCAAACATGTGAAATTTCCAAACAATTGACATTTTAGGGACATTAACTCCAAAATGGGAAGTCCAATTTTTCTGAAAATATATAGGATATAGACCTCGACTTGCTGGCCTTTTTTCAACGGCTCATGCCAGTTTTGCTCCAACTGCTTAGTTTTTGAGATATAAGCCGAAACTGCAGTTTACCCTATTCTTAGCAACAGGGGCCATGTTTGTTGATGGATCAACTCCCGGATACAATTTTTAAATGAGATACCACAAGGAACATTCAGGTAAACTTTGGTAACATTTAACCCAATAGTTTCAGAGATTTTTTAAAGTTAATGACGACGGATGGACGACAGACGGACGACGATAACAGACGCCAAGTGGTGGTAAACGCTCAATGGTCCTTTAGGCCAGGTTAGATAAAAAAAGGGGAAAAAAAAGGGAATGAAAAATAGTTCTTTATCATAAATTTGAGCATAAAGTTTCCATCGTAGAATGTTTTGTGGTAATAAGCATTGTGTATATAAGTTTCATAACATTTAGGTGAGCAAACTAAAGTTAGAGAATGGAAACTAATTTTGGGACGTACGTACGGACGGACGTACAAATAGACAATGGTAATACTTAATGCCCCCTCCGCTGCGGCGGGGGTATACAAATATTTTAATCTGTTCATAATAGACTTATTTAAAGTTATAGTTCCCTGGGTATATTTCTGCAGTATAAAGAGATTTCGTCATTATTTAAAGCCAAACTATCACAAAGGTAACAGTGTTATCAAATCTTTCTATTAAATGGAATATAGTAGACAGACCTTTACTGAGTTTGGCCATAAACTGTGGGCAATAACCATGCAGGAACATGTCTGCTATTAAAGGGGTGCAAGTGGTGCTCATATGTCATTAGGAATGACTACAAACTGTTGATAAACTTTATTACTGAAACATACATAGATGTTGTCAAGAGGAATACTATCGACTTAAATCATCTCATCAGTTCTGGCATAGTCATCTTTTCCATTGCAAAAAAAGGCTTTAATATATGAGTTGCAGCAAATATATTTACAAACATAAAGGACCATTTGATTAGGGAAGAAAACTTCTTTGTGATATGAGTGTGTGGAAGATAAGGTGTTGAATGTCGAAAAGTCAATTACCAAAAGAACAATAAAAACACTTAATTTATCTAAAACATTCAAAGAGTCTTTTATAACCCCAAAATATATGGTTCCTTTGTTTTCATATGCTCCCTTACAAAATTTAATGAATTCTGTTATAGTAGGCAGGGAACTCGATAAAAGGACAAACATATTATTAGTCGTAGAACACTTACAAGAAGCCCAGATGAAACGAACTTTGACGTTCTTGTGTGTAGTTTATGTGATCAATACATAGTAAGGAACCTCAAACATTCAGAGGCCTTGAGCTGTGGTAATGAATATAATTGTCTTATCTTTGACTCTACAAGCAGCCTTGAATTTAGAAAATAATCAGCTGCAGCAAGAGCGCATGATACATCCTCACTGTACATATTGAAATTGTTGCAAGAATAAAATAGGATATTTAGGAGGCATTTAATCGGAAGAAAAATTATTAAATGTCTCTGCAGAAAAACTTGCATGGGGATGTAACATATAGATATATGGTTAGGCACTGGCTACGGTTACACTCAAATGTAACAATAATAAAAAAGTTATTGTTACATTGGAGACTAATTGCCGGAATGCAGGGTTGTGTAAGGAACTGATTAATTACGAATTATGTAACCGTAGCCAGTGCCATATATATATTGCATAACACATTAAAAAGTCTGAGAACTCTGGAATGACAAACCAGATAATTTTCAAAATCGAAAGCAAGGCTTCATTCACTAATCCCAACAACAGTGTTAAGTTTGTTCAAACATTCTAGTGCTAGTGCATGACATTAAAATATGCTTTTTGCTTTTTGCCTGTTGACTGTCAGATTCAAAGTTCCATAACTCTGCCGGGAATGACATATCAATTTTTTTTGTTGGTTTGTTATATTGTTCCAACAATTATGTAAAGTTTCCAGTAATTTCAATCCAAACAAATTCAAGTTATGGTACAACATATGAAATTTACTTAAATCTGAAAACTATTTTTTTTATGTTTGATAAGGCCCTAAAATGGCCTCTATTTCTAGCTACAATTTCAAGTTTATTGACTAATATCACAATGAATCATAGCTTATACAATGACAAGATAGATATTATGTCATTTTGTTTGAAATCCATGCTTTTTTGTCAAATTTCACCAAAACTTCTATTTTTTTTTGGCTTTTTAGGATTTAAAAAATCAATGCTTCAAAATAAAACTTTGACAAAAATAGTTCTATTTAACTTTCTTACATGTCTTTTCATCAACTTAAAAAATAAAATGGGGAATGTGTCCATGGGACACAGATGATGCCCCCTCTAGCATAATGTTATAAAGGGACATAACTCAAGAAAGTGACGCTACCCAAATTCGTACTTGATCTGAGTTTTGTGGTAATAAGCAGTGTGTATAAGTTTCATAACATTTGGTTGAGGCAAACTCAAGTTATGGAATGGAAACGGAAAATTCAGCAATTTTTCCATTTGTAAAGGAGCATAACTCTAGAATGTTAAAAGTGATGCCACCAAAATTCAAACTTGATCTGTGTTTTGTGGTAATAAGCATTGTATATAAGATTCATAACATTTGGTTGAGGCAAACTCAAGTTAGAGAAAGGAAACAAAAAATTCAGCAATTTTTCCATTTGTAAAGGGTCATAACTCTAGAAAGGTAAAAGTGACACCACCCAAATTCAAATACTTTGATTTGTGGTAATAAGCACTGTGTATAAGTTTCATAACATTTGGTTGAGGCAAACTAAAGTTAGAAAACGGAAACCAATTTCGGGACATACGGACGGACGTACAGAAGGACAAGGGTAAAACTTAATGTCCCCTCCGCTACAGCGGGGGCATAAAAACAACATAATTGGGGCCAAATATGGTCCTTACCAAACTTACTCTTTTATAAATTTGAACAATACAGTTATTGAGGAAATCAATCCAGGCATACTTGAGTTAGCGTGGGATATTTAAAAATAAAATGCTTCGCTGGGCGCAGCTTGATACGACCGCAGAGGTCGAACCCTGAACAGTTGGGGCAAGTATGGACACAACATTCAAGCTTGATACAGCTCTGACTTTGGATTGTGATTAAATATTTGACACTGCATAGGTTTCTGACACAGAATGAATGTGGTCTAAGAACTTAAAATTTTTTAATTTACCTATTATGGTCCAATATCTAAAATCTAAACAAATGGTTAGAATAGATTCAGCATATCAAAGAATCTAAAGAATTCAATTTTTGATGAAATCAAACAAAGTTTAATTTTGGACCCTTTTGACCTCAATGTGGACCAATTTGATAACGGGGCCCAAAAATCAAAATACATGGTTAGATTCAGCATATCAAAGAACCCCATATATTCAATTTTTGTTGAAATCAAACAAAGTTTAATTTTGGACCCCAACTTGGACCAACTTGAAAACTGGGCCCATAATAAAAAATCTAAACACATGTTTAGATTCAGCATATCAAAGAACCACAAGAATTCAATTTTTGTTAAAATCAAACTAAGTTTAATTTTGGACCCTTTGAACCTTAATGTAGACCAATTTGAAAACGGGACCCAAAATTAAAAATCTAAATACACGGTTAGATTTGGCATATCAAAGAACCCCAATAATTCAATTTTTGATGAAATCAAACAAAGTTTAATTTTGGACCCTTTTGACCTCAATATGAACCAATTTGATACCCACAAACAAAAAAATCTAAAGACATGGTGAGATTCAGCATATTAAAGAACCCCATATATTCAATTTTTGTTGAAATCAAACAAAGTTTAATTTTGGACCCCAATTTGGACCAACTTGAAAACTGGGCCCAAAATAAAAAATCTAAATACATGTTTAGATTCAGCACATCAAAGAACCCCATATATTCAATTTTTGTTAAAATCAAACTAAGTTTAATTTTGGACCCTTAGGACCTTAATGTAGACCAATTTGAAAACTGGACCCAAAATTAAAAATCTAAATACACAGTATGATTTGGCATAACAAATAAATAAATGTGGTCAAAGATTTTACAAATCTAATGCGCCATACTGTGCAATTAAAGATTACTTCTTGAAATTTTTCAATATTTGAAACTTGAAAAAAAAATAGTATTGGAAGAATAATTCTTTTTAATTTCTGAAATCTGAAATGAGAAAAAATTAACCCCAACAATTTCTTTTTAACCCCCTCCCCCCCCCCCCCCCCTTTTTCCTCCAAAAAATTCCTTTATAAATATGCATTTCTTTACACATAATTTAAAAGCAGTGTAAGGGAAGTAATCAAAACGTTGTATTTGGATTACCTCCCTTACACTGTTTTAAATTGTCTTAATTGTTCATTAACCATTACTTTATACATAATTTAAAAGCAGTGTAAGGGAGGTAATTCAAATGATGTATTTGATTTATCTCCCTTACACTGCTTTAAATTATGTTTTGTACTAAAGTATTTGTCCATTAACCAGGACAACCTTGTTTTTCCCCCCTTTTTTGCCCCTAATTCCTAAACGGTTTGAGCCATAACCCCCCAAAGCAAATCCTAACCATCCCTTTGTGGTATGGAAACTTGTGGTATAATTTCAGAGAGATCCATACACCAATCCACAAGTTATTGTCTGGAAACTAGAAAATGCTTATTTTTGTCCCATAATTCCTTAACTGTTGGTACCATAACCCCCAAAATCAATCCCAACCTTCCTTTTGTGGTATTTAACCTTATGGTAAAATTTCATAGAGATCCATTCACTTAAACTAAAGTTATAGTGCGAAAACCAATGTGTCTTCGGACAACAACGACGACGACGCCAACGTCATACCAATATACGACCGCAAAAATTTTTTGCGGTCGTATAAAAATCAAAATGGAAAGGGAGCTTTCTTCTTCAGTACTAATGTTGTGTTAAAATTACATGAGAATAGGTTAATCAAAGAGTTATCTTACAAAGTGTTTACAGAAGGATGCATATGGACGGACAAACTTACTATGGTATACATTGTACCATAATACAACTGGTCTTCAAAGGGCATTTAAAAATGTTTCAATCTTTAGAACTTCAGTGTATTATTAAGGTCACATTACTACTGCATTGTTTGCTGCTTTGTCAGCCTGTACAAACACAAAATGCTGTCACAGATCTTGAAAGAAGGTTGTACAGTGACCTTTAGTTGCGTACATCCACATCATTTTGACTCTGTTGGAGAATTGTCTGTCTCATTGACAATCATACCATATCTCCTTATTTTTATATTGAAATTTATTTTTTTCCTAGAAATGGACATAATAATGGCCATTTTAGTAATTTTTAAATTATTTTCCAAATGTGATAAGTGAATATCTACCATATTCAAGCATTTATTGAAATAAGAACCCATTGAATTTTATCAATATTTTCCTAGTGATAACATATTTTGTATAAGAATGAAAGAACATCTTTAATTACATGGCAAAACACTTTCCAATTTATTTCAGATGATGGAAAATATTTTGGTCCTTTATTGCAGAAAATTTATAACTTCTCAACATTGAAGAATGTTGAGATCGCTGTAATTATTACATGGCTATAGAGATAGTATTTAATCTTCTGTTTCAGTCTCATGTTGAAGAACAACCATTTTCTATACAGGCATGTGATGTAGCTGACATATATTTGAAGTATATGAAATAATGGGTGGTTCTACGTTATCAAAATAAGGAGATGTAAGTATTGTTATGACAGTGTCATATTCAATGAGTTGAAAAAACAATCTCTCTGTTTGTGGCTTTTATCATCTTCAGGTTTATCAATACGAGGGAACAGGGAGCCTATGGTGACAAATAGCTCTGATGATGTACGTACACCCATAGAGTGGACTAAAAAACAATAGACATGTAGTACTACTCTTTGAAAACTTTAAGGAATTAACTAATTGGTATTTCACTTAGTTTGCATAATAGTTGATACCTAACATTTTTCTTGAATATAGATAAGAGATCTTTCAGTGTAAATTAGTATGATGTTGACTGTTTACAATGGTTTATAGCATTTCATATGCTTACCATTATTTTGTTTTTTAATCATCAATATTCAAGATATCAATAAAGTTTTCAATGTTCCCATGTTCCATGATATATCTAGACCAAGAGGATATGCAGTCTGTAGTCGTCTAATCCAAGACAGCTCGCAACTTTTACCTGAATCTTCATAATGTTCATGTGATTATCCTGGTTGTTTCTGAAATGTTTTAAACTTTTGTTAGGTAAGTGGAAGCAGTATAGTTGTTGTTTGTGTCTGTCTGAAAAACTTATGTTCTGCTCCTCCTACATATTGAATACCACATTTTGGTTTTTTTCATGTTGCTAGGTATCCCAAGGTTTTTGAATGTTTGAAGTCATATCATAAGAAAAAGAGAATGAACAAGTTCTTCCTTTCACTAATGACTCATTAGTATAGATTGCAAGATATTTTCTGGTGGATATGATTTTCTTTCAATATGTGATAAAATGTGAATCATTAAATGGAGGACCTTCCATAAATAATTCCTCCCAAATTTGGTTAAACTTGGTCAAGTAGTACAAATGTATCAAAATAAGAGATGAAAATGTAATTTTTTCATAGGGTTGTAAGGGACCAATGCTGCCTTATTTGCCACCCAATCAACATTAAATGAGTATATTTTCCAAAGGGTCTTCCAATCATTAATGTTCTGAAGTTTTGAAAATATTATGCATTGTAATTTCAGGGAAAAGAATTTTGAAAATTGACCAATAAGAATCAAAGATTACTTCTGACACCAATATTTTTCATCCAAATTCAATCAAATGAGGATCATTTGTAAAAGACCTCCCATACATCATTTCTGCAAAGTTTGGTTATATTGGATTTAAAAGAAAATGGATATGTAACGTGTTCAAGAATTCCTTAGACAATTGATGCCAAGTCATGGCAAAAGCTCACATACCACATTGGGTCGGATGACCTATATAGGAGTTGGGCAAGTAAGACCTTTTTTCTGTTCTTGAACTTTTAATATTAGAAGATCTTGTCTCTAGGTACAACAAACCAATGATAAATATCTATAGTTTATTAAAACAAATCAATATGGCTTACATAATTGGATGATTCCATAAAGGGTCAAAATTTAATTTTCACAGATTTTCATGATAATTGCTTTTTAGACGGCATACCAGCAACTTTAAATTTGGATCAACAAATATTATATTTAACAGAAAGATATATATAGCTTTACCAAATATATATTTAAGTTGGTCCAAAGATGCAGGGTAGATACAAAACCAATTAACTCTTGAGTTTTCCTTGAAATTTGTGATCATGGCCATGTTCTAGACACAATTTGTTTTTTGTATAATTTTAAACAAAGTGTTCATAATATTATGAATTATTAACACCAACATGATCATCATCATTTAACTTATTTTAGTCATATTTGGGGCATAACTAACCCTTGTTCTTTGGTTCTGCTGCAATAAATGAATAACAGAATAAATTGTATTTTGCTATAGCACTATTGTATAAACAACATGATTTTGATAAATGAAACACAATAAATTTTCAGTCCTTTACCAAAAGTTTACATTATCATTAATTATCAAACCAGCTGTATGATTCAGTCAATATTCTGGTTCACAAACATAAATAACAATGCCCCTATGAGTTCATAAAGAAGTTGAACACATCATACAGGACTATCTAACCATTGTTTTAACCGACTTTCAAACAAATCACTAGCTCTTCTGTTTGAATCTATTTCTTTTTTCAGTTTGTCAACTTCATCTGTTATTAAAGGTTCACTTAAACTTTCAAGGAGTACATGATCACCAGACACAGTTTTCTCTGGAGAATCGAACACACTCCAGGGTGGTAAGGCTGAGATATCAGGCATTGTAGTATTGCTCATGTCTCCATTCAACAAGGCATTCTTCAGGAACTCTTCATATTTGTCTGACTCCTTCTGTTCCTTTTTAAGATCAGAAGACAGTGATATGGATATTTTACGAGCAGCCTGAACACACTCAGGTTCTATTTCAAGAACAATGTTAGCATTATTTTGTGTTTTGTCCACTCGGTCAGGTTCATAGGATAAACTCTCTTCAGCTTTCTTTGCTTTTGATTTAGTTTTCGCTGTCTGCATTGAAGATTTCATTGAAGTTGTCACTGAAATAAAATAAATATCAATCATTTATCAAAAATGTTAAATTTTATTTAATTCTGTTTCAGCTAAGTCGCTAATCCATATTTTAACAAAATTCCCAACCAAATTTAATCAGAATCAGACTACCAGAGTTATTGGTTCTCACTGCTGTTAGCCTGGGTCCCTTTAATCACAGAGAGAGATTATATATTTATTAAAGTCAACAAGAAACTTTCAACTATAATAAAGTTTTGAAATTGTGAAAATGTTATTTCTATGTTCTTAGCCTATGTATACTTTTCCAAAAAGGATGATTATAATCAAGTAGTTTTGATTGATAGCAGTTCATCATTGTTAAAAAATCATTTATAATGTTAACATTTTTGTCTTCCTCTGATTTTGCAATTATAACGTGAAAAAAGTGATCATGTCTGATGATAAAGTTTGCCACCATATCTTGTTTGGTTCAATATTTCTCTTTTATCACAAGTTAATTTCTAATATTTAAAACACTCAGCAAGCAGTATGTTTTTAAATTTTAAAATTTTCACACTCAGAGTTGGTAAAATCTATATATAATTACAAAAAGTACAAATCATAATTTTTTTGAAACAACAGCTAACAATGGACATCATTTGCGTTTGTGCTAACTTTTATTTTTTTCCCACAAAAACACCAAAATTCACTAATTGAGAGTTGCAAATAACCATCTGTCATGCCCTGTGATTTATAACATCTCAGCAATGTTACCAGATTAAATGTATGTGTCACAATAGATGCTAAACTTCCAGTTACTTTTAAAAAAAAATTGGTTTTATTACTAACAAGTTCCTCTTCCAAAAAAATGACAAATTTCTCAACACAGCAAATATATAATGATAACATTCATGTCTTAAATTCATAAGTACTCAGTTTAATCCCCCTAAAAGAAAAATATCTGGATAATACTGGGGATTGTTGCATCAATGGAAAAGAACAAAAATTCACTAGAGTACAATACCATTAAAATCTTTGACAGATTCCATGAATTTCCAACTATCAGGAGGACGGTAATCATCCAGTTCCTTCTTCATGTACACTGCCAATAATTCATACGTCTGTAAACAAACAAAAGACATATCTGAAGTTGGTGTTTCTATTCACCCTAGACATTCTATCTGTAGGAAAAAAATGCCTTGCATTCAAAAAAAATATGTAAGAAAATGCTACCATTGGATTGACTGCAATGGAAATGCAACAGCTAACAAGACCTACTAAAGCACATTATAATATAGTAAGAATATACTGGTGAAATATCTGCAATATACTTCTTTCTATTTTTTTGTTTCAATTGGACCAGAGTTTAAGGAGATCTTTGCAGATTTAGTAAAAAGGACTAGTATTTTAGGCATGGCAGCCATGTTTCTTATTTGCTCACAAATTTAAGTAAAAACTTTTGTACAGCTATCCTCAGGAATGCTGCATGTATGCCAAGTCTGTTTGTAACCTATGTCAATTTTGTTTTCAGCAGTAAGGGGGAAGAGGTTCTGGGAGTTTATGATGGACCTGCATCTTGATAAATGGAAATACAGTGTAAACATCAGTCAGAGAACTGACAACACATGGACATAAAAAGAGAATATCTGAAGGTCATAGCATTCGGAAATGAGCAGCCAAACATTAATGTCATTTGAGCATGTCAACTTGACATTCATATGTTGGGAAACAGAAAATCACAACTGATGGTGATGAGCAGTAGGTGTCTGCTGTAAAAAGTTAGGATTGATTATTTTCCCTCAACCATTTCAATTCTAGAAACTCCATGGTATTGCTATTCACAACTTAACCTACATCATTGAGTTGTGTATCATTAAACTTGGTAACAGTAAGTTTGTAGTCTACACAAGCTGATATGACATCTGTCCAGGGAATATTTTCATGTGAGGGTTCACATCTAGTCTCCTTCTCTAATAAGTAACAAATGTCTTCAAAATCTCTCTCTGTGTTCTTCAAAATTAATCTTATCCTACAGAGAAAAATACAAAATAATGATCAAATTAGAATGTTAGAGCCTACCAAAATTTCAATGTTATAGCCTATCATATATATTTTTTTTGTTTTACGGATCAAACACAGTGTTCTCCCCAGGGCTTTAAAGGACCGCGGGCCCGCGATGTATATTTTTTTACCGTGGTGGTATCGTTCTTACCGCGATGTATTATATTTCTCCGTGGTGCTAAAATTTTTAGTTAAAAAATCGACTTGTTAAATCTTTTCCGTGCGGTATAAAATTCCAGGTGAAATTTGACCAGTTCAAACCAGTTCAGATTGTTTACACCACATGATCGATTTACCTTTATGAGGTTAACCTTTGTTGATTGGATTTAATCGATGTAATTAACACTTGTAAAATTATTCTTTTGTGTTTTAATTAAGAGATCATAACTTTATGATCGTAGATAACTACTTTATGGCTTCACTCACCACCTGACAAGTTGGCAAATACTTTGTACACAAACCGTTTTGACCCGATAGTTGTACACACGACGGTACACATTTTGTACATTATAAAGTTGGCTCATTACGTATAATTGACCATTATACACTTCTCATTACTTATATAATAGTATTATAGGTCTCTGATTAAACCATGGCCAAATTATCTTTAATTTTGACATAGTTTATATTGCATGATATTCCGGTTTCAAACTATCATAGTATCTGTCAACAAGTAATTCAAAGGGGACGGATCACATATGTACATGACCCGTTAGTTCACATAGAATACCCAAGATTTATTTACAATTAACTGCAAACTATTCTATTTTATAAATAAAATGCATGACTGTACCTTCAAACTGGATATCTATATCCATATGATAATTAATGAATAACAGAAGTGATTTGCAAATTTTATCCATAAGCACATGTTAAATCTATTTATATCTACTTCCTGTCATTTAGGCGGGAAAATAGGGAGGCTTAGTTGTTGACATTGAATAGGGTTACTTATAGATCTATAGAACTAGGATAAATTTATAGATTTAGTAATTCTTTTTAAGTGGATCATGACAAAAAAAGATTTAGATTTCAGTGCAGTATTAAGTCTGTATCTGTGTTTGATTATCACTAAAGACAAGAAAAGTTAATATTTACATGAAATCTAAGGCAAAATGTTTTGAAATTTATGAAAAAATTCTTTTTATTAAAATTCAAGAGAGATACTGGTTCAAATAATTATACAATATTTATTCTCGTTAATTTTATATCTCCTTATGACAGGAATCCTTTCACAATACAACATCTTTCATTCTAGAAATAAGAAAGTTTTTTAAATTGAACATTTTTGTTCTCTTTTGAATGATATTTTATTCTTATTGCTCATTGATTTTATAAAAGATTTAATAACTTTAAATTTAGATGAATATTTTGTAATGTATCATGTTTTATTTATTTTTAAAAAATATTAAAAGTATACATGTCAAACTGTTTATTGATTTACATCTTTTTTACCAATAATTTTCAATGTCTACATAACACAGTACCACAGTATTAAAACAAAACAGGAGACATAAAAACTACAGTTACTAGAAATATAGCTAAGCAAAGCGATGCAACGCGACGCAACACGACACAACTGATTGTATGAATCATTTCACCAAGCAGTCCACACGCGTTACCCTGGTGCTATCCAAAAATCCTGGGGAGAACACTGAAACACACAAAATCTAATATCAAGATTTCATATTTTTTCTATATTTAAATTCTTTTGAGGTTTTTGTTACTATTGTAGGCCTAAACCTTTATCACCCTTACATAAAACCATATGATGATCTATTTCTATACAGATCTTTGTACCTATTTTACAACTGGCTACTGAAATAATATCCTTTCTTATGGCATGAATTTGCTCCGTAAAATTTGAATAGGATTAGTAGACCAGCCAAAGAAAGAAAGAATGAATCAATCAATATAATACCTCTGCAACTGTCACTGGGTGGAAAAGAAAACATCCTTGATAAACTATTGGTATTATGAAAGTTGCAGATTATATTTTAGCTCTTAACTGACATGATTCATTAAATTAGTTCTACAATAGGCTAATAGCATGAATGGAAGGAATCTGTAAAATAGGACTGATTGGCAAGTTTTCATACTTGGATGATAGGTCTATTTTGGCCTGTCCTGAATGGTCATCTATGACTTTGTCAATATAAATCCACAATACTTCACATATTTCTGACCAATCATCTTTCTCAAAATCATCATTCAGAAACCATGGTAACTGCAAGGATTCTGTTAACTGTTCTATACAATACAAATGATCTTCAGTGTTCCAATGAGAAGCAGGTATACCTGAAATGTATACACACATATCATGTGCATTACAGTTTTGAAAAGAATTTAGCATCATTCACTATGCTTTGAAATGCTATTTTTTAATAAAATTTATCAACACAAAATTGCATTAGTGAGTAGATTGACAGCTGATTTTTATTAACAAAACAGAAATATAAAAGAAAACCTACTCTTTATTGATTAATCTGCTCTTTATGTATATTTTTCATTAAACATATCTAAATGGTTAAATAAACAGGACAAATTTGCACACCTAAATGAGAGTGGCCATTGAAGATCAAGTTACTAAAGTAGTTGACCAACTTGTTAAGAGAATGGGGAGAGAAAAAATAGACCATAACAAAAACACATAACATATAAAATAAACACCAACTTACAAAGATTGGTTTTCCTTGTAGAGAAGAATTCTGCAACAGGCCAAGATTGGTCCTTCAATGTTTCTGATGCTAAAACTTTAGACATGTGACTGATCACATGATTATATAATATTACCAACTGTTCTGGCATCTGAAATAGGACAGATACATTATTTTGCTCTTCCATGATAGTCAGCAAGTAAAAGTAAAGTAAAAAAGACTTCTCCAGTTATTTTAAAATGTACCTTTAGCAGTATGAATAAATGTCAAAGAATTCTTGTTAAGTCTCTGCTAAGGTGAGAGTTATAAAAACTCTAAAGACCTTCAAACAATTGTAAAGAACAGCATTTAAGATGATCTTACATATTTCAATGCATGTCAGACTCACAAATGTTAAGTATACTGTTGGCCTCAATTGAACACACCTACATTTAAGTAAACAAGCCCACATCGAATAGGATGTTCTGTTAGGGTTCTTTTTGCGTATTGTGCTCTAAATTCTATTTACTTTTGACTTTTCAAACTTTAGATGATCTGTGGTTCTCTCTCCAGCTTCCTCCACCAATAAAAACTAGTCTCTATAACGTAGCCAAGTGTTCTGAAAGAGGCGTTAAACACCAACAATCAATCAATCAATCTAATTTTTAGTCTCAAGAGTACCTAATAATTATTTCAGAAACATGGGTGGTTTGACAGGTATCAGTATTCCACTGACTTTAACCTTCATGGTATTTGAAATCTGATTCACAAAAATTATAACTAAATAACTAAAATGACCTAATTATAATGCATTACCTGATGCAGAAAACCATTCTGTTTCCTTTGTTTAAGGTTTTGTAAAACTGGACCAAAGAATTTCTTAAGTATGTAATCATCTATAAAATCTTTTAGAAATTTGAGTTCGATGTCTGGCTGTGGAGGATAAGCTTCTGCCAAAAATTGGACACATTCTTGTAACTGTAAGACAAAATCATATAATTTTAATATAATGTATTAGTGTTTATAAACATTAAGCAGATATAAGGATAAATGGCTATACTAATGAAACAAACAACAAATAAGTTTTTGAGCAGATATACGATTTCATAAAATTGCATACATATTCTGTCCTTGCAATTTTGTTTAACTTATATTTCAAGAGTATTTGCTTACAAATCCTGGTGCATATATATGACTTCATTGAAAAGAATTTATCCTTGCCTCATATACAGCCTAAAACATAGCAATTTAATGAGAGAAGAACCAAGCTATCACTTTGCACATTATTTACTGATACTCCTTTGTATGTGAACTTATATAACTTTCAGTTTTATCTGTCACATAAAATTCTATAAAATTTCATAATTAAAATAATGCTGATGACTTTTCCAAACTGAACTAGAAAATGCACCAATAACTCTTTGTGATAGTTTCAATGTTGAATTACCTATCTGTAAAGAGTAGAAATATAATATAATCAAAGTAAATTTGCACTATTAAACTTAACATATTTCATGTCAGTAGTGATTCCTGCTAAGGTAATAATAAGATATTTTCACAATTAGCTGTAACAGTATGCAAAAGATATATTATGTGTAATATCTGACAAAATTTAGCTGTCCAGTTCTCAATTATAATTTGCAATTGTTATTCATACTGTATGATTATTCAAAATTAATTTACCTCCTGGTTGAGTTCTGGTTGTGTAACATCCAATGAACGACCATAATCTTGAAGATCGATAGTTCTAAGGTATATACTGGACACAAAATCTTCATCTATAAATGATGGCAAATCTAGTCCAGTATAAATTAAATCATCTAAATCTTCACTGATTAACAAAGGAATCATAATCACTAAAGGAACGGGTGGATATAACGGCTTCAGCTGTAATAATGTCTGTAGGCGACTTCTGGCATCTTCCCAGTACTCCTGTCAATGTTACAGAAAATGCATTAGCAAATTAAAAACTGACCTAACCACTTAAATGAACATGAAAATAATCAATTTGGTGGTCTTGTGTTCATCTCAAGTGCTGGAGGTTATGGTGTCTGATTTCCAACCATGTGAAACCAAAGACTTGAAAAGTTTATTGGTAATACTGTGGATTCATTTTGATTCATGGGATACCAGTTTCCATTGATTTGGTGGGTACAGGTGAACCATGAATTTAAATATACAATGAAGTCAAAATTTTCTACAGGATTGTATTGAGACTTTTCAAATAACCACGAAAATACAATTTTTCCTTAATCCACGTATATAAATGAATCCACAGTAGTTGAGGCATTTTGGACAATGTCAACTCAAAGTCAGAATAATGTGTCTCTGGGTAGGGTGATATGCCATCCTGGGGTCTGTTACCATGTAAACCATCATTCTTAATAAAGGCTGATTGTGTTGGCTGTGTACAAAGCAAGGTTCAAATTCATATCACATTATCATGTTCCTAACCTGAATATGCATGAAATATCTGCCACTGGATGTACAAATAGACATCCATCTATGAGGTTAAGATTTCGATACCCCTAACAGTCATAAATATACTTTGTGTGGAAAAGACAAAACATTCTTTTATACATGCTTTTGATCAATACAAGAAATGAAAGAAAAGTTTAACTATGATGAAAGAAGCAAAAGTCAATCTTACCGCAGATAAATCATCAGTTACTCCAGGAGGGAGAACAAAAATTATTCCATTTGTGCCAAGAATGTCACTGTGACTGAGTTCTTCACTTTTTACAGATTTAATACAAACTCCTAAATCTTTAACTATACTGCTGTGACTACAATGAATCTTAGTTCTGTACAGGCTTAACATATCCTACAATTACAAATCATCATTATATTCACGATAATATAAGATGGAGGTGAAACTGTCAATAAAAAAGTTAACATGTACTGTTTTAAAAAAAACTCTTTCAAGTGATAAACAAAAAATGCATCAAGTACTACAGAATATCTGATTCACACAATTATTTAAAATGTATTTCTTGTTTCCTGCCAAAAGTTGGTGGTTCCTTCAGGGCACTTTGGCTTCTTCCACCAATAAAAACTGATATACAATAAGGATGAAAGTGGCGTTAAACACCAACAATCAATCACTCAATCTTGTTGACTTAATCATTAACTCTCAATATATAATTAATTTTGTTAATACCTTATCTTTATCAGTTGATGTTTCATCCTTCCCTTTAGTGAACTTTGACCTTAACCATTTTTCAAGCAGTCCTCCTACATCTCTTTGCTCCTGATTTCCACATAGCCTCAAATCAGGGAGTGATAGTATTAATTTCCAATAAAATGTCCTAGATTTACATCCTAAAATAGAACAAGACTATATAGTTTCTACTGGTGATAGTTTTCCAACCAGATCAACTCGTTTCTAGTTTTTAGTGTTTTCCCAAATATTTCAATGGTGCATATGCATATTTGTCAATTTGGCTCTAAAATTTTGGACTTTTATCAATTAAAGACTGCTGATAGACAGTAATATCTCATCTACTGCAGAATTATTTCAAAGTGCAATGAACTATAAAACTAAGGTCAAGATTTAAATGAAACCTGTCAGGTGAACCCGTTATTTTAATAATTCATATAAAAAAGATTTTTTGTGAAATGAGTCGCAGCAGATCAAGACCTAATCCAAAAAACTTAAACCTGACCTCACAGGTAAACAATAGGAATGGAATATGTCAATATTGCAAAAATTATGTCAAACATTTAAAATTTATGACCATTTTACGCAATGTCAAAAGGAAGGCAATTTATTTTGATGATATTTTCAATTATTTGATAAAATAAAGGCAGAAATAAAACAACATGATTGGTTTGCATAAAGCAATGTTCTTTTGAGGAAAAATACAATTGATGTACTAAATTAATGGTTTCACTTCACTTCAAAATACATATAAATAAATCTTCTCAATCTTTCAATTCCCTTTCTACAAAATAAAAAAATTGCTGTTATGTTAAATAAAAATTCAGATAACAAAAGCAACTTTGAAGGATGTGGGCGACTTAATATCACTTTTGACAGCAGAAGAAAGAGAAGAAACTGATGAGAGGCTGGCTGCTCTATAACAGTGACCAATATTATAAGCCCTGGTCAGAAGAACATATACTTGCCCAAATCAATCTTAATACCAAATATGGTTTGTTTATCATGAACGATTACTGACAAACCTTCATAATCTATAAAACTTTCCCTGTAATCAGGTCAAGGTCACATGACAATGACTGAAAGAGAAGGTCTCATAATAAACAACCTCTATAGAAAGCTTTGATAACGTAGATGAGAGTAATAAGATATGAAGGCATTTGCAAATGGTCAATGCTACCCATGCACCAGAAAAGATATATGCAAATCTAGCTGACCACAAATAAACTTTTGATGCAAGGAAGACAAACTTAGGCATATTTAAACAAATCTAATATCTAACAATGTAATTGTCTTACTTTTAAAATGTTTCTGTAGCTGTGAACCAGCTGTAATTGCAATGTCCAGTGGCTGCCATGACTTTAAATGGCAAATCTTTCTGTATAACTCATGTGCACTTAACATAAGATCAACTGCCCATCTATTGGTTAAATCTCGTTCGGGAGTGTCAATTTTCAACTTAGCAAGTTTATTAACATAAAATCCATTGCTATCACAAACATCGTTTTGTCGTTCAGGAATTAACTTCTTCACTGAATCATAATTATTGTCCATTGCCACTGCAGGAGGGAATTCTAACATTGATCGTTTCAGTTTAATTCTAGCTAAGTACTCCTTCTTCCATCTTTGAAGAAATTTCCCAGCTCTCTGAAGTTCAATACAGTGACAAATATCGTCTAACTCCTCAAGGCGCTCTACAACATCCTTCTGATACACTTCCTCAGCAACCTCTTCAGACATCTCATTGATAACAAGGTCAACAAGTTCATCTGATATTTCAAGAGCACATCTGTCTATCTGTTCCTTCTTTAGTTGTGCCTTTACTTCCCTGTAATTATAGAAACTTAACTAGAAAACTGACATGTCAGGAATGGCCCCACTTGCACATTGTTTGTGCGATACAGAGAAACAAGACGTATAAATGATGCATCAGGTTTGAAACAAATGTACTCTTAGTACTTAACAAATTCATATTTTGACAGTAGAAATCAATTCATGGTATAGAACTCTAACCAGATATCAAATTTTGTTGAACTCAAAGCTCTTTGAATGTTTACATATTTTTGTGCACATATGGCAAATGGCAGTTGACAATATATATTGGACACCAGGAATTATTTAAACATGTCATGTTCTACATAGATATCAAATTTCGTAAAAATCTGAGCACTTTAAATGTTATGTATTTTGTTGGCCATGTGGAAAATGGTGGCAGACAGATAATTTTTGACACAAGAAATCAATTTCGAATAGCATATAATAGTCTTATAAGTAGATGTTTCTCAAAATTTGTGATTTATTAATACAAAAACTGAGAATTGACCACATATTCCACCCCAATTTTCACCTAATTATTGATATGCACAGCAAATTAAATTTTCTGTTGATTAGTCCTTGATCATAGGCTAGGTCACTGGTGAAGAATGATGTTGCATAGATTTGCTATCTAAAATTTATTTCATATTGTTTTTATTTTATCTAGAGGGGTGGTTGTTCGTAAAAGTAATGTTTATTGTATGTTTTTTGTGCAATCTGCAGATGAACATGTTGACACGTAAGTGTAAATTAAAACAAATCTCTATGGTCATGAAGTGTAATATTTGTAATTCCTGAATTGCACTACAGATCAAGAAACTTCTTTAATTTTTCGCAAATTTCAGTTGTTTTGATAGATAAAACTTGGTGGTAAAATCTCCTTGTAGTGTGATATAAAAACACTAGTTTGCTTTCACAGATTATTCTTATAATTTTTGACATAATGATTGCACTGATTAACTCAATTTCATACTCATTATTTTTTTTTTTTAATTTCTTTATGCATATCAAATATATGGTATATCATTTCATATTTTCTGCCATCAAGGCTGTCAAATTGCTGTTCACAGTTTCTATTTATGTGGACCTGCTTAAACATATAAATAATGTAAATGAACAACATGAGGATGAAAGGATTTATATTGCAATACAAATTTCCCAAATTGATGGATGGGTCCTCATTTGAATATGAATTAAAATCAATCGTGATTTTACAAATAACATAACAACAAACCTTATTTCTGCTGTTGCCAGGTTTAAGACTTCTTGATCCACAACATCTTTTATAATAACAGAAGTAAAATGGACAGCAGAATTCTGTATCATTGTATCTTTATCTTTCTTCTGTTTTAACAATGTCACCTCAGTGTGGTATGACTGTGACAATGACCTAAAAACATAAATATACACTTGTCACCAGATAAATCTTGAAATCTGACCACACTGGTCAAGAAGATAATCACAAGGACAATCACATCATTGTTACCACCTCTCCATTGTACATATATGCAGATACAATGGTACATGTAATATAAAGCTTCTTCCTAAGTATATTATTTTCACCTTTTTCTCCATGCATCCTTGAAATGACAAAATGAAAGCATGGATAATATCTATTCCTAAATAAAAAAAATAAAAAATTGAATTTCATTGAAAAAAAAACCCTCACCATATTTGTTTCCTAAAATGATAGTTAATACCGCAAATACCCCTCAAATTAAGAGAACCCATTAAAAAAAATTTGAGATGGTTTTCCATTTATCTGACTTTGCAAAGTCTTTTCTTGTTCTCTTGATTCACAATTAGCACATGGAGTATATCCTTCAAAATTAAATGCAGACTTGTTTTTTTTTTTATATCATATATTTTGTGTTTATTCCTGATTGGACGCAATCTAATTAACTATCAGTGAAACTCAAGACAATTGTTGATGGGTATGTGACCACATTAATATTATAAATATAAACACAGGTAAACATAAAATACAAATACACAGTAAGTATGTGAAACAGTATAAGGTCTATTTTCTGTTTGATTGCATTTCAAAGAAAAAAAACATGTATTAATTTTAATCACAGTACATGTGGAGCACATGCACAACTTATCTCCACCAACGGTTAAATCATAAGGTACATGAATATGCATTCAAAATCAGGTTGAATTATTGACTTGAAACCCAATATTATATCAACAATATCTTTGAGCCTATTTTGACAAAATTGTATCAAACTACTGCTAAAAGTGATTTATCATTTCAATTTTCCACTTTTACAAATGTTTGAAACAAAAACAATTGTATTTTAATGTTTTGTTTAAATCTTAGCTGATGCTCCTTTAAAAAGTATTTGAACACTTCATTAACATCAACAATCTTTAATCAACAATTGGTGTATAACTTTCAAGACATTCATAGGCCATTATTGTAGCTTCTTGTACCAATCTATGCTAAAACCGACTTATTGAGTAACCACATAATTGGCAATACAATCTGACATTCAATGGCCAACACTGTAGCATCATGTACCTTACACTAGTGGTTCCCTATAAACTGACCTAATCACAAACTAATACATTGTTGACAAAGATGCTGCTGCCGCCGGAAAAAGCATACCTATGTCTCTGTCAAGGTAAGACAAAAATCAGAGAGATTCTCTTTTTGTAGCTCTTACACATACCCGACATACTCTGTGACCACTTCCTCTACAATAATGTCACAAACATCCTGTGTTCCAGCAGATATCATCATAGCTCCTTGGACCAGATCTTCTGAAACTTCTTTAGCCATATCTCCAATTACCTCCCAGAATAAATGTTTGGCTAAATCCTTTACATCCTAAAATACAAAATATACAAAATGTCTTATGCACTTTCTTATTTCAGTTGTAATTGTGATGATGTACTTTACTTCATATTACGAATCTTTCTGGAACTCCACCCAGATCAAATTAGCAGTGGTTTCAGAACCATTCATAAAATATTACTCCTGAAAATCAAATGTGTTATTTCCAACAATATCCTGATATCTATTGATTTATTTTAATTTTGTATTCAGAAATGGTGCCAGTTATCTCCAAAAGCTGTTGGAGTACGCAACCAGAAATACTTAAAAGGGATCATGATGTATCAAAAGTTTCTTTGACTTTATATTAATATACATTACTGTATCACTAGTGCATTGCAGTTTTGTTTCTTAACTCTAACCACACACAAAGTTACAATACTTACATCATTAGTGTATTGCAGTTTCTGTGGTCCGCTATCTGGTTTTATTTCAGGTTTGACCTCTTGAACTACCTCTGGTTGAGGTACAGAAGGTTTATCCTGAATTACAGGCTTTGTTTGTATCTCTGATATATCTGATAATATAAGAAATAATTGAAACATCTTTTTGCCCTGTGAAAATAAGTACAATTTACAATAGGACATTAAAGGACAAAGGAAAAGAGAGGGAACACCTACATATATAAAAGTCATTGAACAAATAAAACTATAGGGCAACAAAGGTCAGCTGACTGTGACAAATTCAGAAGGGATGACTAACAGTCTTATTAATTAAAGCATGTTCATATGCAACTTATAAAGTTTTATGCTGCTAAAATTGATTTTTCATCTTCTTATTAAATTTCTTTTTTCCTGCTGGGTATGTTTATTATATCAACATCGACTGAGACAACTGGCAATAAATCAGAATACCAGGGACAAAAAATGAGAATAAAAACTTAATGAAAGCTGAGTATAACAAGAAATGATTGTAACAGGATGCTGTTACGAAGTCTCCCAAACGAAGCTCCCATAATTCGTTATTCCCAGGGTCGCCTGACATTGGGCAACGAGGGGGTGGGGGTGACCCCTGGGGACTAACCCTGTATTTCATTTGATGTGCATTTTCATGACAAACCAGAATATATATGGTTTAGGTATAGAACCACTAATTCAGGCCCGGTCGGAAAGAACATACAAGAAAGTAGTACATATTTTAAACAAAATAGTTCCTACGCATAGCTGTATCTTTGTCAATAGTGGGAATATTTGGGTAGTTTTAGTATCAAATGAAAGCTTGGGGACTTGGGATCACTGTAGAACCCTTGTTGAAAGTTTTATTTGAATAATAAAGAAGTATATGAAATTTTAATAGGAGGGCTCATTTGGCCTGTTGTTCATATCAGAAGTTCCTGTTTTTGTACTATCAAACTTCCGGGAACCAGTACGCTCTAAAATGCAATTAAAGGTATGTTGATTTTTTCAGCACAAGTCAGGATAAGGTACAGTTTTGACATGAAATAACTGCCACTTTATTTGAACTTAAGACAAAGTAGCCATTAATGCTTGAAATTGCAGAATTTAACATAGAAAGCAATGGGGCTATGAATTAGTGGTTTCATACCTATTACTGACAGGCATGTGAAATTCTATTTTTAGAAATCATACCCTTTACAGTGAAAATTGGTCACATTTGTTGTCAGAAATCATGTAACATTATTTTTTTATGTAACAATTATGTTAGTGTCAAATTACAACCCTCAAATTGCTACAATAAGGTATTTTAGCCTTTTTTGGTCATTTACCATGCACACAGTTAAGATTTTACCTGAAATTTCAATTTTTGGATTATCTAACACTGAAACCAATGAGACTTGTATATCATGACTAGTTTACAGTATAAATATTGTTTTTGGTCAAATTATCTATTGAGTGTTCATGTTTTATTGTGTTTCTTAGTGAATTATTTATTTCAAGAAAAATTTGTGTATACTAATATAGGAGTTCCAAAATCTCACTTGAAATGCATTTTAGAAAGCAATGGGGCTATGAATTAGTGGTTTCATACCTTTTACTGACAGGCATGTGAAATTCTATTTTTAGAAATCATACCCTTTACAGTGAAAATTGGTCACATTTGTTGTCAGAAATCATGTAACATTATTTTTTTTATGTAACAATTATGTTAGTGTCAAATTACAACCCTCAAATTGCTACAATAAGGTATTTTAGCCTTTTTTGGTCATTTACCATGCACACAGTTAAGATTTTACCTGAAATTTCAATTTTTGGATTATCTAACACTGAAACCAATGAGACTTGTATATCATGACTAGTTTACAGTAAAAATATTGTTTTTGGTCAAATTATCTATTGAGTGTTCATGTTTTATTGTGTTTCTTAGTGAATTATTTATTTCAAGGAAAATTGGTGTATACTAATATAGGAGTTCCAAAATCTCACTTGAAATGCATTTTATAACCATTTTAGCAAGTTGTCTAGCTTGGAGATACATAAATTGCTCTTGTTGATCCATGTTTATACATAAAAGTATGGTTTTTTACCAAATCACTCTCCTTTTCCAACATGTAGAAAAAGGGGGGGACAAAACTATCAATTTTATTTTATGTTTGGACCTTTGTTTTTATATTCAAGGAAGAATCTCTGATAAAAATAAGACATATAGGTAAGAACACTGTTATTTGAGTAGATATTAACAAATCAGAACTGGTAAAAATTGAAAAAGTGTCATATCTGTCACTATTAGTATCCATATGTAGTTTTCTTTGTTTGATGCATATGCTACTACCAGTCCAATTTGAGCTTGAATTCAGTGATATAGTGTTTTGACAAAAGCTTGATGTGTTTTTCTATGCTAGAAATAGATCATAGAAGGAATTTAAGTCAAGCAGAAGTCAATATAACAAGTTTGGTGCTGTTATAGGTATAGAACCACTAATTCAGGCCCGGTCGGAAAGAACATACAAGAAAGTAGTACATATTTTAAACAAAATAGTTCCTACGCATAGCTGTATCTTTGTCAATAGTGGGAATATTTGGGTAGTTTTAGTATCAAATGAAAGCTTGGGGACTTGGGATCACTGTAGAACCCTTATTGAAAGTTTTATTTGAATAATAAAGAAGTATATGAAATTTTAATAGGAGGGCTCATTTGGCCTGTTGTTCATATCAGAAGTTCCTGTTTTTGTACTATCAAACTTCCGGGAACCAGTACGCTCTAAAATGCAATTAAAGGTATGTTGATTTTTTCAGCACAAGTCAGGATAAGGTACAGTTTTGACATGAAATAACTGCCACTTTATTTGAACTTAAGACAAAGTAGCCATTAATGCTTGAAATTGCAGAATTTAACATAGAAAGCAATGGGGCTATGAATTAGTGGTTTTATACCTTTAGGGGTGGGGATCTCAACCATTTACAAGATATTAGAACTTTCTCAAATGGCAGGGGTTGGGATGACCCCTGGGGACTAACCCTGTATATCATTCAAACCTTCTTAGCATGACAAACCAGAATATATATGGTTTAGGGGTGGGGATCTTGACCACTTACAGTTATTAAAAATTTCTCAACTGGCAGGGGGTGGGGGTGACCCCTGGGGACTAACCCTGTACTTCATTTGATGTGCTTTATCATGACAAACCAGAATATATATGGTTTAGGGGTGGGAATCTCGACCATTTACAAGATATTAGAACTTTCTCAAATGGCAGGGGGTCGGGATGACCCCTGGGGACTAACCCTGTATATCATTCAAACCATCTTGGCATGACAAACCAGAATATATATGGTTTAGGGGTGGGGATCTCGACCATTTACAAGATACTAGAACATTGGGGGTGGGGGGAACCCCTGGGGACTGACCCTACACGTCATTCAAATGTTCGTTACATGACGAACAGGAATATATATGGTTTAGGGGTGGGGATTTCAACCATTTAGAAAGATATTAGAACATTGGGGGTGGGGGGAACCCCTGGGGACTGACTGTATACATCATTCAAATGTTCGAGACATGACAAATAGGAATATATATGGTTTAGGGGTGGGGATCTCAACCATTTACAAGATATTAGAACTTTCTCAAATGGCAGGGGGTCAGGATGACCCCTAGGGACTAAGCATGTATATCATTCAAACCATCTTAGCATGACAAACCAGAATATATATGGTTTAGGGGTGGGAATCTTGACCACTTACAAGATATTAGAATTTTCTTAAATGGCAGGGGGTGGGGGTGACCCCTGGGGACTAACCCTATATTTCATTTGATGTGCTTTATCATGACAAACCAGAATATATATGGTTTAGGGGTGGGGATCTCAACCATTTACAAGATATTAGAACTTTCTCAAATGGCAGGGGGTCGGGATGACCCCTGGGGACTAACCCTGTATATCATTCAAACCATCTTAGCATGACAAACCAGAATATATATGGTTTAGGGGTGGGGATCTTGACCACTTACAAGGTATTAGAACTTTCTTAAATGGCAGGGGGTGGGGGTGACCCCTGGGGACTAACCCTGTATTTCATTTGATGTGCTTTATCATGACAAACCAGAATATATATGGTTTAGGGGTGGGGATCTCAACCATTTACAAGATATTAGAACTTTCTCAAATGGCAGGGGGTCGGGATGACCCCTGGGGACTAACCCCGTATATCATTCAAACCATCATGGCATGACAAACCAGAATATATATGGTTTAGGGGTGGGGATCTCGACCATTTACAAGATATTAGAACTTTCTTAAATGGCAGGGGGTGGGGGTGACCCCTGGGGACTAACCCTGTATTTCATTTGATGTGCTTTATCATGACAAACCAGAATATATATGGTTTAGGGGTGGGGATCTCAACCATTTACAAGATATTAGAACTTTCTCAAATGGCAGGGGGTCGGGATGACCCCTGGGGACTAACCCCGTATATCATTCAAACCATCATGGCATGACAAACCAGAATATATATGGTTTAGGGGTGGGGATCTCGACCATTTACAAGATATTAGAACTTTCTCAAATGGCAGGGGGTGGGGATGACCCCTGGGGACTAACCCTGTATATCATTCAAACCATCTTAGCATGACAAACCAGAATATATATGGTTTAGGGGTGGGGATCTTGACCACTTACAAGGTATTAGAACTTTCTTAAATGGCAGGGGGTGGGGGTGACCCCTGGGGACTAACCCTGTATTTCATTTAATGGGCTTTATCATTTAAAAACATTTTCAATTAAAACGATTGTGTTTATCACAAACGGTTTTCAATTTATAATCATTTGAAAATTTTAAAAAATAAAATCCCATAGGGTTCTATAGTAAAACCCTCTTTTCTTTTTGCCCCTCAAAGTACCCCTTTATAAACCCCATTGCACAATCAAAACCCTGATTGCACCACTAGACATGTTAGTCTAACATATTGTGAAACCCTAAGTTAATCTGACAAGCGGTTTTGGAGAACGGGTGCGGACAAGTTCAAATTTAAAAGCGGCGGAAGAAGAAGAAGAAGAAGAAGAAGAAGAAGAAGAAGAAGAAGAAGAAGAATAATAATAAGAACTGAGCAAAAACAATAAGTCTTCCCAAACTTAGTTTGTCTATAAATCTGTGATTGTCATCAAAACTCTTCTTTTTTAATCTTCAAATCTGTATATTATGATCTTGTTTTAATCTTATAACACACACTGTCCGTTATTTTATAATTACAAAAGCTGATAGTGCTGATTTTACTTTATAAGATACATTAACTTTTATTACATACCAGAAACATTCACATCTAGTTTGCCTATAAATCTGTGATTGTCGTCAAAACTATTTATAGGTGTTGGTATACTTAAAGGTAACAAAGGTTCTCCATTCATCACCTGTAATGAAAAACAAGAAACCATAGCTTTTGCCTATATATTACCTTGAAATTAAAATTGATCAGGACTACACCTAAAACTTTATTAATAAGCTTCAATCTGATGAATTAAATATTTTCTTCTATATCTGTTGTTCTATTGTTTAAATTCAATTTAACTTTATGTGGCAGTCTATTAAATACAAATGTAAACTCTGATAAACAAAACAAAGCCGACTTCCGACCCTGTAATAATTGCATATGCTAAAAACATGTTAATTGGCAGAAAAAGTAGCATTAAATGAATGAACATGCTTAATTAAATATCATCACCTTTAAAAATTATAATATATAGAAAAGTTATTAATGCAATAAATAATTTTACATTTTTGACAATGTAATTAGTGACACTTACCTCACCAATAGAACTACTAAGTTTACTTTCTATTATATTCTGAGATCTTCTAGGCAGCCATGATTCTTCTGGCTCTACATAAGATGTCCTATCTAAGACAACAATCTCCTCTGTCACATTCAATCCATGGAACTTACAGAAATATCTGGCTTCAATCTTGCTCTCAAATCCAAGACATCTCACCATCTCATTAAGAGAATACTACAAATATACATTGTCCCTCTTTTTATTTATATAAAGTTAACAGCTAATACTGTGGAGTCATTTATTTTCGTGCTTACCAATTTTTGTGGATTAAAGAAAATATTGTTTTCATTGATACTTGATTTTGTGGTTTTACAAAAGTTTGTATACAGGCCTATAGAAAATTTTACTTTGGTTGAGCATTTAAATTTGTGGTTGTCCTTTACCTACAAAATCAACGAAATATTGAACGAATAATAATGAATCAACAGAAGTCAGTTTAAGTCTGGCATATATTCCATCTCTATTAGCTATAGGGACCAGAAACATTGAGTTTTTTTATTCAATATGAAGTCTGCTTTACTCTAGAAAACATTGGCCTTTTCTTTGGACCAAAATAAAATTGATTGCAGAAAAGTTGTTACACAAGAAAATATTTTGAAGAGCTGTTTTCATATAAAATTAACCAAATATCAATGGTCTTGTATAAGTACTTCTTCATAACACACTTCATCAGAAACAATGTACAATTCCAGTCACTAAAGGATTACTAAGGGAGTAGAGCCTCATATTCTGCCCTAAACTTAAGTGGATGGATGCTTAAAAATATATATCATAAATTAATTAGATAAACATAACACTTTTATAAAGTTTAAAATCACTGAAGCATGACTAAGGGGACAGGGCCTCATTAACTGCATGCAATTGAGATGCATGGATGAATGAGTAACTGTTTACAAAATGTCACTGATGATTTTAAAATGGGCCTATTACTCAAACTTCACATAATATATAGAAGATGCTGTTATCGGGAAAGTAACATTTTTCACTTCACTACATTCTTTGTAAGCAGGCTCTTTTCACAAAAAATGTTACAACAATAATTGATCTTAAGTGATACTGAAATGTTTTGTTTTAAGGTTTTTTGCGTAATGAGTCGCTGACAAATATAATCAATTTTTAATATCTTTGGGCAGAAAAAGGGAACACCAAACAACAAATATATGTAAATTAATACTTTCACTTACTTTTTAATAACAAAAGATTTTTTCACTCTCAAAATATGAGTTGAGGTTGCTTAGGAGTTAAACTTACGTGTGATTTAGGTCTGTAAGCCTTTATAAGTGTCAGCAGAGCTCTACTTCTAACTTGTGTGTAATATCTATAGATATAAATGTTTAATAATTATCATTGTGAAAGATTCTTTGTAAGCTTAAAAAAATTAAACGGAAAAATAGGATTGAATTCCATGCATCACTTAATCATTAATTTTCTACTAAACAAGCAATGCATATTTAAACATATATCAACAAAATATAAGTAATGACTACCCTAATGAAAAAAAAACTTTTGTTGTACAACGGTTGGTAAATAATCAAAGATATTCACTTGTTATCCTTTGACCATGGGAAAAATATTGAAATTTGTTTCATTGGCATTTATATCATATCTACCTGTCCATATAAACTATAAAGTATCTTAAAAAATGCATGGTAGAAAATGTTTTTAATATAAGGACAATTTCAGAATTCCCAAACCTGAATTAATTGTTTTCTGAATTTTTATATATGAAATCTTTTTAATATTCACTTTTGGGCAGACCACCTAATAACCTGCTTACTAAAACAAACAGGATAATTAAACAGTTAATGACCAACCTGTGCATTATGCAAGCTTGAAGAAATGATGCGTTTTTTACCAACTTGAAGAACCGTACAAAGTTATTACTGTTTAAAGCAGAATGGACTTGTACAGCAAAATTGATGTACTGTGTATTTCTCACTGCTGGTCGTAACTGTTGAGTTTCTCTGGAAAATAAATAATAAAATTTTATGATCTATTTTTGTGATAATTTTTCATATTATGCTATTCGCTTGAGATAGAAAATAGTCGTCAGAAACTAAGGGCCCAAATACTGTTGTCAATGTAAACATTAACAACGTCATAGTCAAAATAGCAATAAACAGATTATCAATGGTCTTTCAAACTTGAGGATGTTTCTCAGCCATATCCCATCTTAGGGCTGTCCCTCTTCAATGAGATTGTAGCTGAGAAACATTCTCATTTGAAAAACCATTAATAATCTATAATTAAATTAAATTCAGTGATGCATCACAAGAACTTATTCTAAAATGGACATAATATATTATGGTTTTGTCATTTAAACTATCTAACTTTTTTCTATGTAAAGGACACCGTCTTTTGGTATGTATAGTGCGCACATTTATACCCTGGGTCATGTTTCTTGTAAGAGGGGTGTGCATTATACATGCCTACAGACATTTTCTTAGGTCTTTTTTCAGGTCCAAACTCTGACAAAGAAATTTCCAGAAGAAGTGAAGAGTACGGAATATTTTTGCTAAAACCTCAATGTTTTACATGTTATATTTGTAGTATATATCTTATTGTTCTTGATTTGTCATGTTTTATTCAAATAAAATACATTTTATATCTCTGTAGTTACATTTATCGTGTAAATTTGTCCATCTGTTTGCAATCCAGAAATTTGCCATGTCTTAATAAAGACACAATAAAGCTTTTGTTGTCAGTTAAATTAGCCTCTCCTTTTGAAAAGATAAACCGCCATTTTTTTTAATATATCAGGTGATCGCCAGTCATGTGACTTGATATTGTAAAGTGATGATTTAGTCTATGAGAAGTTTATTTTTATAAATACGTTTCTACTTTGTAACTTTTAAACAACTGTTTAAAACCGTTCAAGAAGAAATTATGATTGAAAACAGGATAATCCCATAATTGTAACCTGAACGAATTTAATTAGGAACAAGGTGAACCTGTCACTGATTTGTTTTGACATCGATTAGACAGTTGATTGAGGTGTGATAATCCGGAATAACAGCTAGAATCAACAAACAAAAAATAAAAATAATGAGATTTTAACAATTTATTACAGCACTAATGATGTTAATAATAATCATTTGACTGATTTGTAATTATGTTATTGTTTCAATCAGAACATTAATTTGGATATTTAATCTTGTCCTTGATACTCAAACAATTTATTAAATTTGGTTTTAAAAAAACAAACTTAAATGTAGATTTATCTCAATCTAATAAAATTCTTATTCATTTGTCAGAATATTTGCAATTTAATTACATATTCCGTACGGAATTCACCGACTTCGGTGTCCATTTAAACAACTTCCTGTTTACCTATAGACTTCCTGTTTGCTGATTTTGGAGCTATAACTTTTCCGAAATGTCTATGAGTCTTATACGAACAATAAACTTTTTTTCTCACGTTTCTTGGACCATAAAGGGGGTGCGCACTATACACCCCAAAAGACGGTACATCATTTTATTCAATTCATTTACACAGCAGACTTCTATGTACCATTTGTTGTTCCATTCATTGAGATGTTCAAGTTCATGTCCAAAGTCAGGAAGCCTGTCTGTCATAAGCTTTATTTATATCTTAATTTTTTTGTCCAGTTTGGAATTTGGCAGATCTTGTATTTTTCTTTTAATAACTTCTATTTTTGGTCTATTTTTGATGCTGAATGTTTACCTTCAGATGTCTTTAGATTTTTGGGTTGTATGGTAATCATTAATTCATAATAAAAATGACATAAAAATAATGATTTTTTTTCTCAGTATTCATGAATATGTTTTACTTTTCTGAGGTATGAATACATTTTTTTCAATAATTTCTTCTAACCAATGCCAGCTTTAACTAAATATTTTACCTGAGAATGTCCCCTTCATTCAAATTCATTAAGACCATATAACTTCTTATTTCTGCCTCATTTCTACAAAACACATTCTGTTTCTTATCCAGATCATGATAAAATTCCTTCAAGGTTTGTAAACACTTTGTCATATTTTCGTTGTTGATTTTAAGGTCAAATGTATGCATGTCCTCCTCACACAATCGTTCACTACAGAATATATGGAATCTGACACATTTCTCCAGAAGTTCAGCACTTTCTGGTGTAGTCAACTGTTGTTGTGTTATATCCTGTAATAAAGGCACAAAGGATTAATTATCTATATACCAATTCAGTGTTCTCCTCAGGATTTTTTTAAGGCGCAAAATTCAAGGGCGCGTAACTCTTTTTTTAGAGTGAAGGTTTGTGATCTGAAGCAATACCCCTTTGTTATTTGCAGAGAACATGTTCATTCAGAATTAATAAAATCGAATATGGTTAAGATATTTGGTATGCAACTTTTTAAAACAAATTTTTTTTATAAATGAACAGGTGACCAGTTTCCATAGTTTCACATTACGCTTCCGTGTGTATTATTGTTTAATCCTATCTTTGGCAGATAGATATAAAGGAAACTTTACAAATTCGTTAAAGTTAAAACCATTGAAATTATTTACCAGTGACATTATACAGAAGCTGGGGCGATTCTGTACCCGTGTTGATTGTCACATATTTCCCGACGCACAGATTCACGATCGATGTTCAATGATCATTTTATTTCTAAAAATATGACAGTTTCAGACGAATTTACCTTGCAAGCAACATTTTTTCACTTTCTATTAAAGTAAATCACTCCTCGTTATCTTTAATCAAACTTTATTTTAATTTTTTCAACTACTAATACTTTCATTCATAGTTTTCATCGTAAATATCTTTAGCAATGTGTATTCAAATTTATCATGTGTATTCAACACGTTCATTGGTCGTGTTTAAATAGATTCTTCTTCTTACCGACCAATGAAAAAATTTGTTATATAAATGGTCAAGTGATCACACACACGATGCGTAAATACAATGTATTTGCGATCTATTTCTTCAATTTCTGCACTGAAGTTTTTAAAATTTTTAATTTTCTTCAAAAAATATCTATCTTCTTGATGATCATTTATGCTATTAACTGATAACATAGTCCGATAAGGCTGAGATAAGCGTGGCTCAGGTAAAACTAATTATCAGTTATTGCGTAACACTGACCGACCCATCAGCGGTGATCAGTAACTTGACAATTTTAACCAACATTTATAATGAAAATGTGAAAATTAACACGCTGCGGGATCAAGTATCAAGGGACAGCGGCCAATTAAGACGCTGCAGGATCTACAAAAATATTATGAAGGCGCTGCGGCACCGCAGCGTCATATCCGCCTGGGGAGAACACTGCAATTTTTATGAGATAGTCTAATTGTTGCGATGATAAAAGATAAGATTTTCATGTCATGCGGCAATTGATTCTCCCTTTCATGATGGTTATTCAACTTTTTAGTGCTTGAGAATTTTGTCTTTAGTGTCTAAAATCATGTAGAATCTAAAAGCACACTAAATAGTTAGCCAACTAAATTTCTCCCTTTACTAACTCAACATTTTATTTCACATTTTTTAACTATATTCAACAAACAATAAAGTAATCATAAAACACTCTTTTAATTTCACACTATTGATATTTATCACTAGCTATATTCATAAAAGACTTATTTTTCTTACACTGTCCCATGCGAAATCACCCCATTTTCTATTCATTTAAGACTTACTTTTCTAATACCTCTAGTTCTGTCACATACTATTCATAAGAGACTTACTTTTCTTACTCCACGTGTTCTATCCCATAGGAAATCAAACCAATCTCCCCATTTTCCATCCTCTCCTCTATCAGCAATCTCAGTCAGTAGGTAATTCATGGTAAGTATCAAAGCAGGCAAGGGACGTAACTCATGTGGTAAAGGTTCTTCCTTTAAAACATAAGACCAATTAACTCCTTTTCAGTTGGAAGAAAAAATTTCGTTTGCATAATGTTAGTGTTTCAACACATTCTAAAAGTAATATTGTGAATAGCTAAGGCTTAAAATCAACCTATGTATGCATGTTCTCATAAAAATTTATCAAGGAAAATCCTCCAAAAAAGAATCCTGTTCATTTATAGCACTTGGACTCTTACAAGAGATAGGCAATATCCTTCTATATCATGGCTCATCCTGAGATACCCAAAATTAATTGATAATATAAATCATCCTGCCTGAACTTTTACAAAATCATAACAAAGAATAAGGCATCAAACTGATTCTAAATGTCATCTATATATGGAAAGACTAAAAAATGTACACAAATCTGTAACAAACAAATCAATTTGAATATGCAATGATTTTAGGGCTGAATTTGTAATGATTACAGCAAATATGTCACGGTTGCCAGCTATGTTAAACCCATCATTTCAGACTTACAACCTATAGTCTTGGTCATGAATTTTTTTTTATCATAAACTGTAGCAAGACAATAACAAATGATTATATCTTATGATCTATTTTTGTAGTAATTTCTTGGCGAACATATTACTTATTTATTAGTTGCACTCATTAAGCAAGTCACATTACTTCAATGTAAATATTCTCACCTGATCAGCTGAGGATCTGCTATACTCCTTCACTGCCCTACTATGATCTACCTGAGGATTCTGTCAAATAAATAGTAAATACATAAATATTTAGCATCCTAAAGAATCATCACATGTAGACTTGAGAACTGGAAAAAACTTCATTTTTTAAGTTCAACAAGAGGCATTGTCCTTCTAAGTATACCCCAACTCATAACTAACAAGAATATGTCCATAGTACACAGATGCCCCACTCACACTATCATTTTCTATGTTCAGTGGACCGTGAAATCGGAGTCAAAACTCTAATTTGGCATTTAAATTAGAAAGATCATATCATAGGGAACATGTGTACTAAGTTTCAAGTTGATTGGACTTCAACTTCAGCAAAAACTACCTTGACCAAAAACTTTAACCTGACTTGACCAAAAACTTTAACCTGAAGCGGGACAGAAGGACGGACTATTGAACGGACACAGACCAGAAAACATAATGCCTCTACTACTATCGTAGGTGGGGCATAAAAATATTGTAAAACAGGAAGTAGGTATCTAACAGATCAGAAAAGGTCACAACTCATCAGTCAAGTTGCATGCAAGTATGAAAGCATTTTGATCAGTGGTATTAGAGAAATGTGTGATGTAAAAAATAAGTTCATTCAAAATATTAAAAAATTCGTAAGGGTTCCGCGGAACCCAGTGTCTCGCCTACTTTTTCTGTTAATCGCAGGCTCAACAAAAATGAGGAAGTAAATCAATAAAAATATTCCTCTTGATACTATTTTTTGATTGTAAGAAGCTTCTGTCCAAGTTTGGTAAAAATCCAGGATAGTTTATGAATCTAATAAATGTTTAAAAACTTTAACTGCAGACTGAATGTAATGTTAACTGGAAGAAAACAAAATTTCCTTCTAGATACTAGCATTTGATCATAAACAAGCTTCTGTCCAAGTTTGGTACAAATCCAAAATAGTATAAGAAAGTTATTAAAATTTTAAAAACTTTAACCACAGAGTGAATGTGTTGTTTCCTGGCAGAAAATCTAAGTCCATTTAAAAGTAAAAAATGGAAAAAATGGATTTATTTTTTTTACAAAATTTCCTTCTTGATACTAGCTTTTGATCATAAACAAGCTTCTGTCCAAGTTTGGTACAAATCCAAAATAGTATAAGAAAGTTATTAAAATTTTAAAAACTTTAACCACAGAGTGAATGTGTTGTTTCCTGGCAGAAAATCTAAGTCCATTTAAAAGTAAAATAAGGAAAAAATGGATTTTTTTTTTTACAAAATTTACTTCTGGATACTATCTTATGATCATAAACAAGCTTCTGTCCAAGTTTGGTACAAACCCAGGATAGTTTAAGAAAGTTATTAAAATTTTAAAAACTTTAACCACAGAGTGAATGTAATATTTCCCGGCAGAAAAACTAAGTCCATTTATAAGTAAAATACGGAAAAAATGGAATTTTATTTTTACAAAATTTACTTCTGGATACTATCTTATGATCATAAACAAGCTTCTGTCCAAGTTTGGTAGAAATCAAGTATAGTTTAAGAAAGTTATTAAAATTTCAAAAACTTTAACCACAGAGTGAATATTTGTGGACGCCGCCGACGCCGACTGAATGTAGGATCGCTATGTCTCGCTTTTTCGACTAAAGTCGAAGGCTCGACAAAAAATCATAGTTTAAGCAAACAGGAAGTAAGTGTCTGGAAGGTCAGAAAAGTGTTCACACTGTTGAGCTGTATTCTGTTCATAACTTTGTGAGAAAATGGTGGAGATATCATTTGCTGGACTAAGGGATGGATAAGGAGATTGTAATCTAGAAGTGGGACTAGATCAATTTATTTAAATGTAGCATATATTTTAGCAAAGACTTTTTATATTACAAATTACAATCCAATTCATATTTTGTAAATTCAGTAAAATTTAACATCTTTACAATTTATCTGTTTATTTTCTTATAATGTAAGGCATACATTAGTTTCTTTTATCAAGGCAACATGAACAAACAGCATATAAAGCCACTGTGACTAAATGTAAAGAACTCTTCAAATTACTTTCAAAACTTATTATTTTCAAAATACACTTACTATGAGCTATATAGCACATTATAAAAGATTTTCCTATTACTATCAAGATGAAGAATACCAATATTATTATTGTCCCCCTGATATATGGTTATTTCATTGCATTTCCCAGGAATGTTCTCTTATGTACACCAACTCAATATCTCCTTTTTCCAAAAATTAAAACAGTCAAAATCATAGCATTTTTAAAAAATTTTACTTACTGAACTTCCAGGGTTCAGAGATTCATACACATGTAATCTTCGTTTCTCTTCCCTATCATAACGTTCTCTCTCAGGACACATATCTGTACAGGTACCAACAAATGCCTTTGACTTTAGATTTGCAGTTTTCTTCATTCCTTCAAAATGAATTTTAACATTTCATCTTAATCTAAATATGTTATATTCAAAAGAGGAACAGTGCAGATAATATTGATGATCAAATGTTTACTATATCAAAAAATATAGTAATTCTACCTAAAAAAAATATTTATAAAAAATAAAAATATTTTTCTTGTTTATAGGTCTAATATAGAACAAACTTATTATTTCATGTTAATATTAAGCTCAAAGATCTGTCTAATCTTTCAATAATGACTACAGAACTCTGCTACTGTACTCAGAAAATTAAAAATACAAAAAAATGAATGTGATTTAACTCACTTTAGAGAATGAAAATTCTATTTTCACACTTGAATATACCTGTCAAATTACATGATTAATGTGTGATCTTCTAGATTTTAACCCCTTGTCCTGAATGCATCTTCATGATTATGAATGTAGCCCTAAAATTATCTTGTGAATATCTACACAAAAAAATTGTTGAATATCAAATTTGAACTTTCCCAAAGGGAGACATTCAAGACCCATTTTAAAATATAGCAAATAGAAATTATATTTTCTTGCGATCTCTCTTTTTTCTCCTGATTAATTCCTACATTGTAAATAATTGAGATTCAATATGTGTTTTGAATTTTGAGTTGTTTTTCCTTAGTTTATGTTGTGAATTTATAAATAGTTGACACCGAGATTTGTCTCCCCTGCATGTAATTTTGAATAATTTTCAAATGTTGAAACTAAAATGGAAATATGTTAACATTTAAACCATGCAAAGCATATACAGTGTTCTTCCCACAAATTTCATAGAGCATTGAGGGAAAGAGGAAATTTTGATATACCATCTAGTTTCTAGAAATAAAAGCATCACATCCATAACAAAATCTATACGAAAATCATTTCAGGTAGACTAACATTTAAGTTATATAGCATCACATTACCATCATGCTTAAAGGCCCTGGGGAAAACTGTGTTGTAATAAAGATTCTTTAATTGTAACATTGAAATCCACTCTGTTGTTGAAAAGAAGTTGCTAAAAATTCGTAAGGGTTCCGCGGAACCCAGTGTCTCGCCTACTTTTGCTGTTAATTGCAGGCTCAACAAAAATGAGGAAAAAAATCAATAAAAATATTCCTTTAGATACTATCTTTTGATTGTAAGAAGCTTCTGTCAAAGTTTGGTATAAATCCAGGATAGTTTATGAATCTAATAAATGTTTTAAAAACTTTAACTGCAGACTGTATTTAATGTTAACTGGAAGAAAAACTAAGTCCATTTATAAGTAAAATACGGATAAACAGGTACAAATTTTAACAAAATTTCCTTCTAGATACTAGCTTTTGATCATAAACAAGCTTCTGTCCAAAATTTGGTACAAATCCAGGATAGTTAGGAAAGTTATTAAAATTTTAAAAACTTTAACCACAGAGTGAATGTATTGTTTCCTGGAAGAAAAACTAAGTCCATTTATAAGTAAAATACGGAAAAAATGAAATTTTTTTTTGAACAAATTTACTTCTGGATATTACTTTATGATCATAAACAAGCTTCTGTCCAAGTTTGGTACAAATCTAGGATAGTTTAAGAAAGTTATTAAAATTTTAAAAACTTTAACCACAGAGTGAATGTAATGTTTCCTGGCAGAAAAACTAAGTCCATTTACAAGTAAAATACGGAAAAACAGGAATTTTATTTTTACAAAATTTACTTCTGGATACTATCTTATGATCATAAACAAGCTTCTGTCCAAGTTTGGTAGAAATCCAGGATAGTTTAAGAAAGTTATTAAAATTTCAAAAACTTTAACCACAGAGTGAATATTTGTGGACGCCGCCGACAACAACGACGCCGACGGAATGTAGGATCGCTATGTCTCGCTTTTTCGACTAAAGTCGAAGGCTCGACAATAAAAAGGATCACCCTCATTTGTTTGTAGATACATGTATAGCTATAGTTTAGTTAATTTTTTGCTATGGAACCCTAAAAAATTAAACAATAAAAAAATAATATAGGAGGAACACAATTTTTAGGAAAAATTAACATCAATACTTAATATTGAACTAAAAACCTACCAAGCCTTATAATCTTATCTCTAAGATTCAGGATCTGTAACCTATCTGCTGAAGTGTGGCATACTGTATTTCTTAAAACTGCCAAGGATCCTGAAAAAAGTAAATTACATTTTGAGCTACTATTTCAGTTACTGCAGTTTTTCTATTACTTTTTATGTGAGGTTCCAAACTCTCTGCTTATGGGTCTGGGAGTTTATGATCAACAACTATGAAAGTTGAAAGAAATAATTTCTTATATTAACCCTGAAAAGTTATATATCTGACATGATTAATTATCTAAGTTATGAAGAGAGATCTAATTTCTTCAAGTGATGTGTCTGAATTTATGGAAATAACGCAAATTTTCTACATGGATGAGGAAAAAAAATTCCTTATTCCAAGTTAAAGTTAAAGGGAATGCTGCCATAACGAGTACAAAACCATGTGCATTCAATATTCTACAATTAAATGATTGAAAATAACCTTCACATAATTTTGTAAGTGTACACACCTTTATCTACATTAGTTGGTATGGTAACTGCTGTCCTGGATGTAGAAGGACCAGGACTAGAATGTCTAACAGGACTGCCAGGTAAGGAAGACTTTCCAGCTTTAAGGTCATCAGGTCGGTCCATTACCTTCATCTGTTGTGTAGCTATATCACTGGTCCCTGACATACCTGCTAATTCATCATCTAAATCATTCTGTGCCCATTTGAATTTGGCACTTTTAGTGGTCGGCTTTAAATTGGCAAATTCTGAAATTCAATATTTATTGTACATTGATAATTAAAAGTGGAAAGAAGAAATTTAAACAGGAGGATGCTTAATAAAGAAACATAATGTCTAAAGTGACACATCTTCAGTGAAACACAGATTATACCATCAGGGCCGTAACTAGGTCTCCAAAACAGACGAGGCCGGGGTCTGGGGCCGCCGACTGAGGCCCCCTCGATAGTGGGTGCCCAGGCGGGCAAAGCCCCCCGGCCAAAAATTGTAGCATTAGGGTTCGAAATATATCTTGTAACATCCATTTTTATATCATATTTATCGTTTGTGTTTCATATTTACTGTATGAAGAAATGCATTAGGCAACCAGAGCCGGCTGATAGATACTTGCCTTGAATTTTGTTCCATCAAAATATATATCCATTTACAGTAGGGTATAGATATAGGAAGATGTGGTATGAGTGCCAATGAGACAACTCTCCATCCAAATTACAATTTATAAAAGTAAACCATTATAGGTCAAGGTACGGCCTTCAACACGGAGCATTGGCTCACACCGAACTGCAAGCATGTTTAATAGTAGAAAAAGCGTGACATGTGTGTGTGGTTAACGCTGCAATAAAAATAACATACATTTTGACAAAATTTAATAAAGACCAAAGAATGGAAGCTAGTCATTGTCTGTGAACGCTAGTTCAACCTTTCTTGTGCCACTAAGATCCCATTGTTTGAGAACAGCTTCTGCGTTTACTTGCCCGACATTGTCCGTACGATGGACGTGAAACATGGCCAAACAACATAATCTGTCCTCAGTCGAACTTGTTCAGAACCTTTTTCGCGGGAAATAAATAATTGCTGAAACAAATGCCGGTTTACTGGCGATTGTAATCAGATAGAGAGTTCGATTAACGTAGTTGAAATAAAAGTACACAAGCTTAATGTCAACATTAATTACTATTCTAAGTATGTATTACTCAATTGTTGAATGAAATGAAAATGTAAGGATGTTTTCTACCCGTGCATGTCCAACCTTTTTCCATTTTCTTTCTCTTATTTTTTTTTTGCCAAAAATTCAGACGAGGCAGTTGCCTTGTCTGCCTCATGGGTAGTTACGGCCCTGACCATCTTCCACTGAACTGCTTACATAACAAACTGATAACACTGAGAAGTGTCGTCTGACATAAACATATGTACTGTGGATTCAGTATTATATGTGGGATACTAATTCTCGTGGATTTCCTGGATACAGGTGAACCACATATTTAAATGTTCACCAAGTACAAAATTTCTATAGGCTTGTATGCAGACTTTGGCCAAACCAAAAAAAATTGGTACCCACGAAAAATAAATGAATCCACAGTATTGCACTTGAATTTAAAATAGCAGTTTTTTGCTTTAACACTGCTGAATACTCAGAAGTGTTCATTCATTTGAATCAAGTTTTTATTCATTAATTTTTCTAAGCTTATTCTTACTTTGTCTAATTTACCTTCAATTCAATTACTTATTTTTGGGGAAAAGGTCCACTTATTCAACTTTTGCTCAACTTCAATTATAGTCTTAAGTTAAGGACAGAATTAATTTTTTACCATGTCTTACCATGATCACTCTTTCTTTTGATGGGTGTACTGTCAGTTTCATCGGTCGATCTTCGTCTGTAACTACTCCAGAAGATTTCCATTGGACGTACACCTTTGTCCAGAAATTTCCCTCTAGCTTTAGCTTCTCTTGCACCTTCCTATAAAATGGAACACAGATCTTCATTTACACATATGATCAATCATCATAAATATAATGTAATCAAATAATGGTTTTTAGTTTGTTATTTAATATTTCTGGACATAGCTTAACCTTCCAACTACCAAAAAAAACTAAACTTTGACTAATGAATGGTGATTTCTGCTATTCAGTAGTTGTCTCGTGTTGCTGTTTGCAATATTTGATTTTTTGTTCATTGTTTTAGCATAAAAGAGAGGCGAAAGATACCAGAGGGACAATCAAACTCATAAGTCGAAAATAAACTGACAACACCATGGGTAAAAAAGAAAAAGACCAACAGACAAACAATAGCACACAAAACACAACATAGAAAACTAAAGACTGAGCAACACGAACCCCACCAAAAACTGGGGGGTGATCTCGGGTGCTCCATAAGGGTAAGCAGATCCTGCTCCACATGTGGCACCCATCATGTTGCTCATGTTAGTAAAAATCCTGTAATAAGTCTAATTCGGTAGGTCACATTCAGGAAAAGGGGACTGGATTGTAGTTACAACATTAGGAACATATCCACTCTTAAAATATAATTTATAAAATATTTATTTCATTTTTTCATTTTTTTTTTAGGAAAATTCTCTGAAAAGCAGCAACCTAAAGATTAAAAAAAGAAAGCTTACATGTGTTTTAAAGTGTATAGTGGTCATGAACTTCCTTGGATTAGGAAAAACTTTAGCTACATCACCAAACTTAGAGAAGTGCTTCTTCATGGTAAAGACATTGTTATATTTATTTGGCACATAGTTACAGACTATTGCTACTCTGCTAGACATTTCATCAGCACTAGACAGTCTTCTGATTGGTCTCTTTGATTGTGGTTCTTCATCTGTAAAACAACATCAGTTCTTTAAGTTTGTTTACAACTCAATAACTTTTTAATGGTGTACAATGATTTTATTCAGTTATTTGTTACGCAGACCTAGAAATATTTATTAGCTTTCTTTACTACCTACTCTTCAGTAACAACTGTATATATTAACCAATCATATCATGATACTTAAGGATATTTGCAGAATCTGTTTGACCGTTACTTTCACTTTTCACCATAGCCAATAAAGAATTCATGCAAACTAATAAGAAACTCCTATAATTAAGTGGTACATGAAAGATAAATCTGTGTAATTATTGCTAGATTCTTATTAATGCGAATGGGTAAGTATAGCAATGGTAAGAAATCGCATTCTGATATCTAATAAATGTATCTGTATGCAACTTATCCCAAAATCGCATTAATTAATCTCATATTTTTGTGTCCAATCTTCAAAAATTGTAATGATAAATGCATGCAATAATTTCTGAATTTACAGCACCCACTTATTATAAACAAAAAATTGTCAGAATTAAAAGCAGCAATTTCCAAATAAAAGAAAGAATTTGCTCCAAGGAAATGAAGAAAGAATCATTTTTTATGGATTTGTAAAGGGAAATAACTGATAGGGACAATAATAGTCTTTTATTCAACCAATACAGCTTATAGAATTTACATACACAAATATAATAGCATCAGTGATTAATTACGTATGTGTTTTACAATTACAAACAAGTTTGGATCATTGAATCATCGGCGGAGAATGACAACAAATAATATAAATAATGAAATATAATCAATATATTACAAATAACGATTCTTATCAGCTACATAAAGGTATTTACCTAGATTGTTAAGCTCTTTAATGCTATGAACAGACAATAATTTTATAAATTTATAACAAGAAGGTTTTTTCCAATAAAACAGTTATATATTTTTTTTTTCTTATATCAAAACATTTGTCACATACTAAAATATAATGAATGACCTTTCTAACATTTCTTGGTAGCAAGAATGATAAACATTGTTATGTCCAAAATACAAAAGTTTTAACTTTGCTTAAGTTGTCAAGTGAAAATTCTTAAATTTGGCAATATTTGACTTAAAGTGCAATTCCTGAATGCAGAAAATATTTGAAAATAACATCGTTAATGTATATTTTGGGTCATCTGACTGTGACAGTATCGTCACCTCATTCGATTACACTACTTACAGCATAAATTAAAAATGCATAAAATAATTTTCTTGCAACTGGTCAATTTTACTTTAATTTATTAAAAGCTCTCTTAAAATATTGAAACACTAACATGAAAACTTGGATATAGAACCACTGAAACATGCTGCTGCACCTAAACAAGACTAATTTTAAAACTTAATGATTTTTAAAATGGTTCCTGACTAATTTGAATTGAACTGATTGATTTGGAGTAAATTAATAACATGCTGGAGTTTTAAGATCATTAGGCTGAACTGAGATAAAAAAATAGTGGAACAACTATAAAGAAAAGTAGTTATGCTGTAAATATTCTAATAATTTACCATTTTCTTTGCTAGGTTTTCTCTTTGTTGTCTGGTCTTCATTGTCAAAACTGGTTCCTGCTTGGTCCATTGACCTTCTTCTAACACCTGGTAATATTGGAATGTTATATAAATCACCTACATTTAAAATGATATCATTTACTACATTCATAAAATAAAAAAGGGCAAGGACTTAAGCACAAGATTTTCAGTCAAAACCTTTCACACGTAATCTATAAAAATATGTGACATAGTCTTTAACATAGACATCAAAATTGCATACAATAGTACTGTAATTAAATCTTTAAATAAACTGTTAACACAGAGATATGTCTCGCCTTTTTGTTATTTTAATAATACAAATATTGAAATTAAAATAGCAATACTTTAACATGCAAGATATGCAAATATTCAAATTCAATGAACCATGACTGAAGGTACAGGGCTAAACAATCTTCATGGAAATGAGATTTGCCAATGCTAATACAACTGCATACAAAATACCATTGACTTATCATAAGTCCTTCCCTTTCAACAAACCTAAACACAAAACATTAACTTGTAAACTATGTAAAAGGTTCAAAGCCAATGAACCATGATGAGGGGGTGGGGCTATATAATCTCCATGGAAATAAGACTTGCAAATGCCAATAATTTGCATACAAAATATCATTGACTGGTTCCTCTTTAACTTACCTAATCACCAACTAATACATGTAAACTAAGCAAAAGTTTCTAAATCAATAGACCATGACTGAGGGGGCGGGGCCAAATAATCTCCATGGAAATGAGATATGCCAATGCTTATACAACTGCATACCAAATATGATTGACCTACCACTAGTGGTTCCCCATAAACTGACCTAATCACAAACTTATACATGTAAACTCAGCAAAAGTTCCAAAGTCAATAGACCATGATTGAGGGGGCAGGGCCAAATAATCTACATGGAAATTAGATGTGCCAAGACTAATACAACTGCATACCAAATTCATTGACCTGGCTTCACCTACCACTAGTGGTTCACCATAAACTAGATGTAATCACAAACTAATACCTTGTTGACGCCACCAGAGCCACCCACGCCGGAAACAGCATACCTATGTCTTGCTTTTTGACTCCGTCAAGGCGAGACAAAAATTGGCTGTTAATATATAATTTTTTCTGGAGGTCTATCTTGTAAGTCATGTATTTAAAACGATCTGAAAATAAAGTTCCCTAATATGGGTTGTACTTCAAATGTTTAATTCATTTTTTAATTCTTCACATGAATTATGAATCTATTTATATATTTATAAGTATGAGGACCTGTTTCTTCTGCAGGATAATCTTTATACAAAAAAAAAAAACCAAAAATTATGTATTAATGTAACTTGCTATCCATTGGCAATACTTTATAAATATGATGAAATTTCATCTATTCACAATTAAGATAATCATGGCCATATGTTGGTTTCTAGCCATCTGATTAAGATAGGATACCTGAACCAGCCACAAGTTTCCCAAACAACATCTTTTTAGATGACACTTTCAGCTTTTCTTCTTTATCTGAAAAGTAAATTATACAGTTATTACCATTATAAAGTTGTTTGTCATTTTTCAATCTTCATTTTGACAAAATTAACACAATAGGCCTTGATTTTTTAGCATGATACTTGTAGCTAACAAGATATCAGTCTGTATGAAGACATGTTACCCTAACCCGGGACATTATTCTCACTTTAATGACCAGTCAATGCTCTAATTCCATAATTTCTTAGCTTAAATGTGAGCATGAGACAGCAAGGATTAAATGTTAAAGTAATTTTGTTTGGTCAAACCCATAACCTCAGCACTCTTAGCAAACAAGCAACCATTAGAACAAAAACAAATTTTTAATCAATGATTTCATGTAATTTTGTAAAGCAGGTTGTGTTACAATAAAAAAATTATATAAGATTGTTTGTTATTTTGGTGGAGTTTGATATCCCTTTTTCTATAAATTGCATATAGTCATGGCTGTCAGTGAGAGAAGAAAGAGTGCCAGCAGTTTACCACCTACATGAACCAAATTGAAAAGTCTGTCACATACAGGTACACTAAGTACACCATGCCATTTTTTGTATGCCTTTTTTATGTGTAAGATATATTTGCATTTATCTATAGTTTATACCTGTAACATCAGGTTTCCCAAACATTCCATAACCTGATGTAGATGCTTGAGACTGTACTCCACCAAAAATAGAATCTGTAGTCTTGTTGGATGCTGAAAAAATCCATTTTCTTTCACTGAATCTTTATAATCATACATATTATATATTAAAGTTTAATCAGCCCTCTTTATACAGTAAGGCTATAAAGGACAAGGTAAAATGATGCTATCTTCCTATACCACTAAGCAACCAAGAACAATTGGACTTTACTTGCCAGGGTGGCTTAAGGTGGCATACACTTCTAAAACATTTTGTTACAGGTATAGGGAAATTTACTTAATCTGCTCAATTTGTCATGCATAATGTCATATAAAAATAAGAAGATATGATACGACTGTCAATGAGACAACTCTCCACCAGAGACCAAATGACGTAAAAGACATGCGAACACTGCTGGTCTACTAAGGCAGGCATTCTATAAGAGGGTTAGAAAATTATGGCAGAAAGCACATGGTAAGATGAATTGCCAAGGTGTAAGAGTGTAGATTGTAAATCTGTCAACACTATTTGAATGAAAGTGGTAATTGTACCTATACAGTGATAAATATAAATAAAGGAAAAGTGGGATATATGCAACCAAACAATAATCAAAACCGTATAAGATATTTCTAATATGTCTAAAATTTGGTCTTTCTCAATACACAGGAATTTATTAAATATGAATAGTACTAGATCTAAATCCTCATAAGTCTGCCCAAATATATATTTTTATCATATTTTACTGTTAAATGTTACATAAGCCACATTTACTTGTTCATTTATAATGTCATAATTAAGATGGTAATATAACAGGCACAGGCTGAATAACCTTATCTTGGGCAGTCAAAGCAAAAGCTTCAATCAAAATATGCACCAGGTATATCATAGGCCTACACATCACCTGAAAAATCCCTTGCTAACATAAACTTACGTGCAAAAACAGTGGTAGTTGTAGATACAGGATATAATACTGTACTGGGAGGACTCAGTTCAGTTATAGGTGCTGTCATTTTCAATTCTGGTTTGCCAAACAAGTTCTTTGCGTTCTCTGATTTTATCACATCACCACCTATCAGAGATTTACCAGCTGTTCCTAATTAGATCAAAAATATTTATGATTTAAATATAACTAACTTCTAAGTACAGTGCACAAGTTAACGTTTCATGCCGATCAACGTTCTTAATACACAGTTTAATCTGATTAATTCAATAATTTTAACAACAAAAGTTGCAATGCTCTTCATCTGTTTTGACACATCTTGTAGGCCCCCATTGTTATATGATCAACAATGTTTTAATACATATTTGTCTTTCCAAACTTTGGCTCTATATATATATATAAACTATAAGAGTATTCTAGATAATGTATACCAAAAGACAACCAATAATAGTGCTATGAGTATCTATCTCAGAATTCATATTTGTTTAATAAATAAATAATATACAACTGTTTACTCAGCAGGATTATATTTTAACAAAGGCTGACAAAGGATATGTGTCTAAATTTTTCATTTATTTCTAAAAATTATTATAATTGAGAAAAAACTATGAATATTGTTAAACTGGAAACACAGATTTTGCTTAAAGCCAATAAGCATTAATTTCCTATTTTTCCATATGTTAAGCTCTAATTCCTGTATACAGTAAAAAAGAAGACAAAAGAAAGACAGTTTCAGAAAACCTGCAAGAAAATAGACATTCAATTTTCTTAAAAATCAGGCCGTTAATTTTCTTGTTTGAATTGTTTTATAATTGCCATTTCGGGGCCTTTTATAGCTGACTATGCAGTATAGGTTTTGCTCATTGTTGAAGGCCATACCGTGACATTAAGTTGTTAACGTCTATGTCAGAGAGTTGTTTCATTGGCAATCATACCACATCTTATTTTATATAGATCCTGTCTGCAAGATTCTCTTACAAGAATATAACAATGCTCTGTCTTACTTTTTGTTTTGAAGACTTTTTAAAGGATCCTCAGTATTTGTTATACATGTAACATTTACCCTAGAAGAAAAATGGAGCCTGATATTTTTTTTTGATTGATAAAATGTTATCAGAACATAAAATAGAATGGATCACTGTCAAATCCTTGTAAGCAATAAATTGACACCACAGGATCTATATTTCAATCAAATGGAAAGCACTGGGAATTCACATGAAAACAAAAACAATTTTGAAAGGGTCTTTTCATATTACCAACATAGTTACCTGACAGTCCAAACAGCCCAGATGACACTGATGTCGCTGCACTAAAGGAATCTGGTCCTTTTGTTGATTGAATTCCTCCCTGTCCTAATATACCAGAAGATTGTATGCCTGATGTACCAGACCCAACAGACTGTGAACCTGTCTGACCAAATATTCCTGAAGATGCTGTTGTTTGTGTGTTTAAGGAACCAGTAGAGGATACAAGACCCTTCCATCCTATTGTACTATGTAAGCTTGTTGTGGTGACTGGTAAAGTTCCTCCACCAAATGTTGTTGACCCTGTTTGTAATCCTGTACCCCCAAATACAGAAGACTGAGTTGTTTGTCCAAAAACAGAAGGTGCCTGAGATGTTCCTAAACCACTTCCACCAAAAGTAGTTGCACCAGAGGAGGTCTCATTACCAAACCCTCCAAATGAAATCTGAGCTCTAGTCTGAGCTGATCCAGGAGTAGCTGTTGCATAACTAGAACCTCCAAGTGTACTTGGTTTGGTTGTAGGTCCAAATGGTGGAGCTCCAAATGTGTTTGTCTGAGTTGTGGTTTCAAATGATGGACTACCAAATGAGCTTGTTTGAGAAGCTGTTCCATGTGAGGAAATACCAAACATGTTAGTCTGAGTTGTAGTTCCAAATGAAGGAGTACCTATTGTACTTGCTTGTGACACGGAACCAAAAGTGGGACCACCAAATGACTTTGGTTGAGTTGATGTTCTGCTAGCTTGAGTGGCTGTTCCAAAAGTAGATCCACCAAATGCATTGCTTGTATTGGACTGATTTCCAAAGGCAGACCCTCCTAATGTGGCAGTATTTCCAAACAACCCAGAACCAGAATGAGATTGGGTTCCGAAACCTCCACTTCCAAAGGAGGCAGCTGTTGTTGTTGCACTACCAAAAACAGGCCCAGTGTGAGTCCCAAAACCTCCACTTCCAAAAGAGGGAGTCGTCACAGCACCAAAACCAGAGGCAGATTGCGGTCCCATTGTTCCAAAGCCTGTACCTCCAAACACAGAACCTGCAATGTGAACAAAACATGTATTAAGGAGTACAAAAAAATTATCAATGCAAATCACTGGACTATTAAAAGACTGATTTTCCTTTGTAAAAAAATCTACCTTGAGGTCCAAATCCAGGAGTGCTGGTTGTTGTTCCAAATCCACCACTTCCAGTGTGAGAAGTTCCAAATCCACTACCAGTCTGAATGTTACCAAATCCACTGGATGCTTGATTTGTACCACTTATACCAAATCCACTAGATGCTTGATTTGTACCACTTATACCAAATCCACTAGATGTTTGACTTGTACCAAATCCACTGGATGCTTGGTTGGTACTTGTACCAAATCCACTAGATGCTTGATTTATACCACTTGTACCAAATCCACTAGATGCCTGATTTGTACCACTTGTACCAAATCCACCAGTGGCAAATCCACTTGGAGTACTACCAAAACCTCCAGATCCATATCCTGGGGGATTAGGTGTTCCAAATCCAGCTGACTGGCCAAATGGGCTTGCCTGTCCAAATGCAGGTCTTTGTTGTTGTCCAAAACCCCCAGTTGCTTGGCCACTAGCAAATGGGTTGGCCATTGTAATAATGGTACTGTCTTTTGACAAAACTAATTCAGACTGCAGATTAATACATCTGAAATAGATTTCAAATTTATAAGATAGACTTTACAGAAGCATCAAATTATTTAAAGATTAATGTGTGTGTTTAACGTCACTCCACTAAGTGTTAAAAGGGCATTAGCTTTGATTTCGGCAAAAATTAAAAAAACAATTCATTTTGTTTCATGTATTAATAAAAGTGGAATTTTGAAATAATATTTTGTTATAAACAGTCAGTTTGGCCCAAATTCGTCAAAATAAGCTAAAAACATTGCTGATGTATTATTGACATGCAAGTTAATAATTTAACCTCCTTTCTGCAGAGACATATAAATATTTAGTATATATGTCTCTGCTTTCTGTAAATCTGTATTCATGTGACTTTCAATTTAAGGTAGCACTACAGTCAGAATTTTCTGACTCCAACCAACAGTCTTTAAAGATTAATTTCTCCAAAACTACTCAATGGATTTTTAAGATCTTTAACTCATTTTAAAGCTGAAATATTACTCTTTCTTAATCCATAGATACATTTATTTTTGGTATGATAAATCTCAAAATATAGCTCATTAATTGCCAAAAAAGTGGTCTTCCAACTTGGATGGAAATGGCACATTCAGGTCAAATGGTAGTAAAAATTTGTTTTCATCCCTTTAATCAACCATATACAAGCTGCAAAACCGTGTCTCAGATTTTTGATATATGCCTCCAGTAAGAAGATATATTGATTTAACTGCTGTGTGCCAAACCTCATTTCACCTTTCATCTTTGGAGATCTATAAATTCATTTAGAAACAAATTATCCAAAAACTGGGACATATTGTAGAAAATACTCCCTTTAATCACATATATCAAAGTCCAGCCAAAGGGGGTACCCATAAAGTTTACATTTTCATTTTTTCCTAACAAATCTCATGAAAAATTGTTCTGAGAAATGACCTAAAAACGGAATTTCCCCCTTAGAACCCCTATAAATGCAACATAAATACATAAATTCCACTGGGAACACCCCAGGAGTGTTCTGACACCATTACTTTATCAATAGAACCACACACTTTGTCTCTTTGATGCTCTAATGCTGTAAATTTTGCATTATGTGTGACACTGTGCAACACTAACTTGGCATTTGGCGGGAGTTTGACGTCATAGATTTGACCAATATCTGTGATGTAGTAATTAAATATAGACAAGGCTCCGCCTCTGTCCAGACAGTCTAAGATAAGAGAATAACAGGATTGACCAGCTGCATATAATCAATATTTAACATCATTATTCTCACTATAAAGAATAATTTTTGTATTTTAAAAAGAAATATACTATTACCATGATTACTGAAATTAGCTAGAACATTAAAATTGTGCATCAAAAGACATGTTCATAAAAAGATCCAAGACCATCCACTTCTTTAAATAAAGACACTCCCACATTATGCATATAAGTTCATTATCAATTTACTCCCTGTTGTGATATGATAATGACTTTGGGATTTTTACAAACTGTGCAGAATAATACTTAATTCAAAATTATGTGATAAAAAAAATATCTTCAAAAAATCATTGTTAGACTGTAGTGCTACCTTAACCCCTTAGTTGGAGATGGGTTACGCATGTACTAGGCATGTTCAGCTATCATAAGGAAAAGAATGTCAACATTGAAAGTAAAACAAGGATGAACCTTTTGGTTGACTGATCTGATCAACAAAAATCATTCTTATTCAGATAAAAGCGATGATCAAGATACTTTTTTAACCTATGATATGAAATCAAATAGACCTAGAAAAATCCAATTGCACGTGGTCGCTATCTATTTATATTCATATATCAGGTTATATGACCCTTAGGCAATCTTTGGAGGTCATCGCAATAGTTAATTAGATGGAGTCTAGATTGAAATACACACAAAATGCTGATACATATTATCTAGTCCATGCATTGCTGATTGTTTATTTTAGATTTTTTGTAATTTGGATATATGTTTTAGTATGTTATAAATCAAATATGAAAATTTGAGTCAAATCTGTGAACTTGAATGTCCCTTTAATAATATGGCATAATTCCTTCTTCCATATATCAAAATATACACATGAGCCTGAATCACTCATTTAATACGAGTAAAAAAAAGATGTAGATGTACCAGTATATAAAACTGACTTAATTTCGGTTTATACATTATAATCAAACGTCTTCCTTCCTGCATAGCAATCAAGTATAATTAACTGTTAACACAGAGATATGTCTCGCCTATTTGTTATTTTGATAATGCAAATGTTGAAATTAAATTAGCAATACTTTAACATGTAAGTTATGCAAATATTCAAAGTCAATGAACCATGACTGAAGGTACAGGGCTAAACAATCCCCATGGAAATGAGATGTGCCAATGCTAATACAACTGCGTACCAAATACCATTGACTTTTCATAAGTCGTTCCCTTTAAACAAACCTAAACACAAACATTAACTTGTAAACTATGTAAAAGTTTCAAAGTCAATGATCCAATATTAGGGGGTGGGGTTACATGTATATAATCTCCATGGAAATGAAACATGCAAATGCCAATACATTTGCATACCGAATATGATTGACTTAACATTAGTGGTTCATCTTAAACTGACCTAATCACAAACTAATATATGTAAACTAAGCAAAAGTTTCAAAGTCAATAGACCATGACTACAGTGTCTTCCCTAGAAAATTTTTCATGCATGGTGGGTCCATGGTGGATTTGCAACGCTGCGCGCAATGATTATTTTTCAGAATTAGTTACGCTACATAATTTATATGTTTATAGCCATATACCAATCTAATTGTTTTATTATAGGTAAGTCATGGAACTTTAAAGTATTTATTACAGATGAGAGGAATTAATGAAAGACCTTATAAACAATAATAAAAATAATCCAGTCTGCACTAGTTTTTTACAAATTAATGTCATGTACACATTATTTTGTTGATATCTTCCTCTGTTTCAACTTTCCAAAGGTCCCCACACATTTTTCAAAATCAAAATCTTCCTCCTTTGGTCCTTCAATATTGATAAATGCATTAAGCAATTCAGCACTTTTTGGCATAGTCTGTTTCTCAAAGGTGTTTTAACTCTGTTTAAACATGAAAAACACCTTTCACAATCAGCTGTTGAAACTGGCAAAACAAGACCAATTGCTGCATACTTAGACAGACGAGGATACAAAGTTCCAAGACAGGCAACTTTGTTCATTGTCTGCCTAAATGTCATGTCTTTACATTCTTTCACTAACAGTGCCTAAAAGTCGTGTCTTTACATTCTTTCACTAACAGTGTCCTCAATTTGCTGATAGAATGGTTTCAGCAGCAACAGCAAGTTGTTAAATAAAACTTTGAATGTCATCATTGCTTCACAGAGATTTTACAGGAAACAATAAAAAAAAAGTCTATTTGTGTTAATTACAGAAGTCGTCAATGAAGAATACCTGACATACAGATGACATACAATGTATTTGGCAATCACCTGTTTGGAAGCTAAGCTGACATTTTATTTCATGACAATTAACTTTTTTTTTTAAATACATTCCTGTCTGATTTATTTATAACGCTTCATAATTGTAAAAATCATATAATGAAAGAAATTTAGCCCCACTTGTGTAAAGAACGGCAAATGAATCCGCTATGTGACCCATTGAATTAAAGATAGAACAACACTAGTTAATTAAAAACAATATTTCCGTAAATGTTTTGAAAGTTTTTCCATCAAATGTTTTAAATATTTCATAAGACACATCTTTTTTCTCGGCCCGGTTGCGGTGATGTGTATTCTTTAATATAATCAATCAACCGCAACTAATCTAAAAATAAAATGCTCCGCAGGGCGCAGCTTGATACGACCGCAGAGGTCGAACCCTGAACAGTTGGGGCAAGTATGGACACAACATTCAAGCTTGATACAGCTCTGAATTTGGATTGTGATTAAATATTTGACACAGCATAGGTTTCTGACACAGAATGAATGTGGTCTAAGAACTTAAAAATTTTAAATTGGACATTCACCTACTATGGTCCAATATCCAAAATCTAAATACATGGTTAGATTCAGCATATCAAAGAACCCCAAGAATTCAATTTTTGATGAAATCAAACAAAGTTTAATTTTGGACCCTTTTGATCTCAATGTGGACAAAGTTGATAACAGGGCCCAAAAATCAAAAATCTAAATACATGGTTAGATTCAGCATATCAAAGAACCCCATATATTCAATTTTTGTTGAAATCAAACAAAGTTTAATTTTGGACCCCGATTTGGACCAACTTGAAAACTGGGCCCATAATCAAAAATCAAAACACATGTTTAGATTCAGCATATCAAAGAACCCTAAAAATTCAATTTTTGTTAAAATCAAACTAAGTTTAATTTTGGACCCTTTGGACCTTTATGTAGACCAATTTGAAAACGGAACCAAAAATTAAGAATCTAAATACACGGTTAGATTCAGCATATCAAAAAACCCCAATAATTCAATTTTTGATGAAATCAAACAAAGTTAAATTTTGGACCCTTTGGACCTCAATGTGGACCAATTTAAAAATGGGGCCCAAAATCCAAAAACTTAATACACGGTTAGATTCAGCATATGAAAGAACCCCATATATTCAATTTTTTTATTGAAATCAAACAAAGTTTAATTTTGGACCCCGATTTGGACCAACTTGAAAACTGGGCCCATAATCAAAAATCTAAATACATGGTTAGATTCAGCATATCAAAGAACTACATATATTCAATTTTTGTTGAAATCAAACAAAGTTAAATTTTGGACCCCGATTTGGACCAACTTGAAAACTGGGCCCATAATCAAAAATCTAAATGCATGGTTAGATTCAGCATATCAAAGAACCCCATATATTCAATTTTTGTTGAAATCAAACTAAGTTTAATTTTGGACCCTGTGGACTTTTATGTAGACCAATTTGAAAACGGAACCAAAAATTAAGAATCTAAATACACGGTTAGATTCGGCATATCAAAGAACCCCAATAATTCAATTTTTGATGAAATCAAACAAAGTTAAATTTTGGACCCTTTGGACCTCAATGTGGACCAATTTAAAAACGGTGCCCAAAATCCAAAAACTTAATACATGGTTAGATTCAGCATATTAAAGAACCCCAAGAATTCAAGAATAAAACCCCATTGAAATTGATCAAGAAATAAGCAACTTATACGAAGTATATTCTTTTGCACAATACTGTGCAATTGAATATTTCTTGCTATTGCGCAATACTGTACAATTGACAATTTCTTGCTATTGCGCAATATTGTGCTATTGGATATTTCTTGCTATTGCGCAATACTGTGCAATTGAAGATTTCTTGCTATTGCGCAATACTGTGCAATTGAAGATTTCTTGCTATGGTGCAATACTGTGCAATTGAAAATTTCTTGCTATTGCACAATACTTATTATATAATAATTTACACATCCTGTTTGGTGTGTATCTCCTTCCATATCATTATTATTTGCTTTTAAATATAAATCAGAAATAACCAACTTAAAATGGAAAATTTTAAAAGAAAAAAAAAGGAAAAAAAGAAAAAAAAAGAAAAAAAAAAATCCCCCCCCCAAATTTTTTGAACCCCCTTATGATTCATCACCCCCAAACTCAATCCCAGCCTTCCCTTTGTGGTATGGTACCTTGCAGTACAATTTCAGAGAGATCCATACACTTGAACACAAGTTATTGTCTGGAAACTAGAAAAATGCTTATTTTTGGCCCCTTTTTGGCCCCCAATTCCTAAACGTTTCGGGCAATTACCCCCAAACTCAATTCCAGCTTTCCCTTTGTGATATGGAACCTTGTAGTACAATTTAAGAAATATCCAAACACTTACACACAAGTAATTGTCATGAAACTAGAAAAATGCTTGTTTTTTGCCCCTTTTTTGGCCCCTAATTCCTAAAATTTTGAGGCAATTACCCCCAAAATCAATTACAGCCTTCCCTATGTGATATGGAACCTTGTGGTACAATGTCAAAGAGATCCATACACTTACACACAAGTTATTGTCTGGAAGTTACAAAAATGCTTATTTTTGGCCCCTTTTTGGCCCCTAATTCCTTAACTGTTGGTACCATAACCCCCAAAATCAATCCCAACCTTCCTTTCGTGGTATTGAACCTTATGGTAAAATTTCATGGAGATCCATTCACTTAAACTAAAGTTAGAGTGCGAAAACCAATGTGTCTTCGGACGACCCCGGACGACGACAACGTCATACCAATATACGACCAAAAAATTTTTAATTTTTGCGGTCGTATAATAACTGATTGTTGTGACCAATCAAAAAATAATGCATCAATGTAAATATACATTGATATAGCTGATGGAAAATCCGCGAAACTTTATTTAAAAATTAAGTTTTGTCCATTCTTGGTGAAGTTATGTTAGTTTTATTTTATAATACCAGAGACTATACCAAATTTTTTAAATTTACTTTTTAAAGATCACAATAACAATGTCAAACACTGGCCCATTTTTTGGTGAAATTTATACTGGAAAAGGTTTAACTTTTTATTTAGCACAGAAAGATATAATTGCATTGGAGATTAATCTTATTATTTATTTATCAGCTAACTGGCAACTTCTATTATTTAACCGAAGTCTCAATGTACAAATGTATAACCAACTAATCAAAAAGGTTGTAAAATCCCGGCACGCGTGACGTGATGCATCCAATTACCAGTGGGATGAGTTTAAAATTCCTGAGGAGTGTTGTTACTTGTCACTTCACTTTCAAAATATCGTTAATAAATATTTTACACAGTTATAATTTTCACACATAGCGGGATGCATTGCGGCAATGATGAAAGCATGGCGGTCAAAATTTAAGTGTAGCGGTACCGCAATGCTTGAATAGCCTAGGGAAAACACCAGACTAAGGGGTAAGGACCAAATATTCTCCATGGAAATGAGATGTGCTAATGCTTATACAACTGCATACCAAGTATCATTGACCTACCACTAACGGTTCCCCTTAAATTGACCTAATCACAAACTAATAAATGAAAAGCAAGCAAAAGTTTCCAAGTCAATAGACCATGAATTTTGTGAAATTCCTAATTTTAAACAAAATCTTGACTAGCCCGTCGGACTACTGTGATGAAAACTTTACTAGCCCTCCCTAATTTTTACAAGCCTCTGGCTAGCGACTAGCGTTAGTGTCGAAACCTGTACTACGAATTCATCTGATGTACGAAACATATGATCTGATCATACCCATTTGGATATATCAGTCCCTAACTTCATGAACGTGTTCTGGAGCACTTGACCGTCTTGAGTTCACCTGTTTTAATTACTGGGTTAATGTTGCTGTGCATAGTTTTCTGCGGTGTTTTATGGACTATTGTTTGCCCTGTCGTTGTTTTTCTTTTTGCCAATTTTGGCCAACACTACTGTATGTTTTTGATTGATTTATGTTATTTTCTCCCTCTTTTTCTGCAATATCAATGGGCAATCTAAGTTTTATTATTACTTGCTCACTGCACAATGAATTTATACAAATAATTCTTACACTGTGATGTATCGACAGCAAAATGTCGTCACCGAAGGCGAAAAAATGTTGACACCAATATTTCTTCTTTCAGTTCAGTTTGAAAACTTCCGCCACCTGACAACTAGGTCGCGCTAACGGTGGATAAATTAAAACACCAAAATGTAAGAAAGAATAATGATTTATACACGGTCTGAAATTTTTCTTTTCGTTACTCATTTTGCCAAATTAAACTTATAAATATTATAAATTTATCGTATACACAATTTTCTCCGTGACAGTGATTTTGATCATGGCAGGCTTCCTGTCTAGGATTTTTGAGAAAGTTAAATCTTGGATTCACTGGTCGTGGACTTATCTTTGGGCCGTTTGGTTTATTTTAGTAGTCTTTGTCGTATACATTTTGCGAGGCCCATTAAAATTGACAGAAAACCTGTCTTATGGTAAGTATGAAGATAGTTCAAATGCCCTCCCCCTTTTTTCAATTTTTTTAGTTTACTGAATACTCTACTTCACTCAGCATTTAACTTGAATAAGATTCATGTATATTGAAAGTTAGACAAGCAGTCAAACAGAATGCACTTAACATGCTTGACCAAAGACACCACTCCAGACATAAAATAGGTGAGAGAATAGACCTTATCGGGAATATCGCTATTTGGGAATCTATAACCGATCTAGGACATAATATATTGACGGGACTTGACACTCGACAGTCGTATAGATTTCATTGTCGGGTCATCTAATTACTGATATGATACGGAAACGGAGATGATTAATGGACAAATACTTAAGTACAAAACATAATTTAAAGCAGTGTAAGGGAGGTAATTCAAATAAATCATTTGAATTACCTCCCTTACACTGCTTTTAAATTATGTATAAAGTAATGGTTAATGAATAATTAAGACAATTTAAAAGCAGTGTAAGGGATGTAATCCAAATAAGTTTCGATTACCTCCCTTACACTGCTTTTAAATTATGTTTAAAGAAATGCATATTTTTAAAGGAAGACCAGTAAAAATATCTGCAAATGTTGCATCTTTTTTTTTTTACAAAAAAATCCATATGAAAGATTTGACACCATATCTTAAATTCTATTATAAAATAGATTAAGTTAGCACTATGGTAAATTTAAATGGGTAATTATGGTTACAAACTCCATTGGAAATTTGAATTTAGATTATGAACCGAATTTTTTTGGGAGAAAAAGGGGGCGTATTGCATTTCCGCTAATTTTTCAAAGTTCCAATACTACGTTTCCGGAAACTTAAAGTATACGTTTCCAGAAATTGTATTTATTACTTTTCGGGAAATTTACCTGGTAGTAAATTATTAATATTTGAACATATGTTAGATAAATTATTTATTTCATATTTTTATACAAAAAAGGTTCTGATCTTATATCTACAATATACTAGATATAAAAAAATGAAAGTGTCACCATAGTGAAAGATGATGATGTCGGAATCGTTATATTTTTATGTTTTACCAACTTGAAATGTCTATGATCCTCTATGTAAATTACTGATATTTTCATAGATGGCACAGTTAATTTTTCGATACATGGGTGTTAAATGGTAACTACATTCCTCTTGTGTTTGCGTTACTTCCACTTTTTATCAAAATGTGGAATCTGCTTATTGATGTGTGCACTACCCGAAGACTAACTCTCCAGCCCGAGGTAGATCAAATTGACTTTGAATGTGCAATGCATACTGCTGTTACAAAAATTGCATGCTGCTACAATCAGTTTCATTTAGGATAAAGTTCAAGGTACTTCTTAATTATTTTCTCGAAAAAGTAATAATTTATTTTTTCCGGAATCGTTATCATTTTCTCGGAAAAGTAATAATTTATTTTTTCCGGAATCGTTATCATTTTCTCGGAAAAGTAAGGTATTTATTTCCGGAAACGTACAGAGATGCAACTAATCGTCGGACCTGTCGGCCCGAGGGGGCAGAAATTGAGCAGGTCCGGCAAATTGGGTTTTTGTGCAAGACCTAATGACCGGCAGACAGTTCTCTAGGATTTTAGTAATATTTAGCATTTTTGGTGCTAACCTATTAGTGGGGAATCGAAATTTGCCTTGTTGAAAATTTATTAAAGTTAGTTAGTATGTTTGCTATAGATGATTCAAACATCAATGCTTTGTAGGTCAACTTTTGCGGTAAACAATGGGGATACATGAGATTGGGGAGAGAAACGGCAGTTTTCATTCTTTCTGTAACTGTAACTGTATTGCGAATCTTCTTCCAATAAAGGAGCACCTCAATTCATGAGTAATTATCCACCAAAATAAAAGTTAATGTACTGTAAATTCAGAAATTATTGCGTGCATTTATTATTGCGATTTTTCAAAAATGGACAAAAATGCGAGATTAATTATTGCGATATCATGAAAATCTGCATACAGATATATGTAACAGATATCAGAATGCGAGTTCTTATTATTGCAATAGTCACCAAGTCGCATTATTCGCATTATAAAAACCTCGCAATAATTTCTGAATTTACAGTATCTGAACACTTAAATTGTGACATTTATTATATGAAAAGTAGTCTTCCATTAAAACAAAATTTTGTGTACCAACATAATGGTAAAAAAATTATAAAATTTTCAAATGTTGCTTTTTGAAGTTTAAACATATTTATTCATGCAATTTACAAATATATCAAAATATACAAGGATAACAAAAAGTAAGATCTGGAAACAAGCTGCACACAGCTTATATCAATCTGATTGATTTTTTGTAAGTACATGTATCCCTGTGATGAGAGTTGTAACTGGGAACTTTAAAGAGGGAAATTTAAAACTGAATTGACTTTTCAGTCCTCACTTTCCTGAGAAAGTTGTAATCAATTAAAAATCTTAAGAGAACTGTCAAAAAAATTACCCTAACCTGCAGTTCAGTGGTACACAATAAAAAAAAATAAAAAATATATTGTAGTAATTATTAAATAAAAGAACTCAATTGAATTTTAGATATTTTCTAAAACAATCCACTAAAGCAGCTGTCACTGTAAAGACATCCTATCTTCGTTCTCTTACTGTATAAAAAACTGATATAAAAAAATGTAGGTCTGGCAGAAAATTGATGGGTGGTCAATTTTTTCTCATTTCAGATTTCAGAAATTAAAAAGAAAAATTCTTCAAATATTTTTTTTACAAAAAAAAAGTGTGTGTGTGTGGGGAGGGGTTAATATGCAACAGTATAGTGTATTGCACAAAAGCAAAAAAAAAGAGGGGGGTAAATTTTTTATCTTTTTTTTGTGGGGGGGAGGGGGGTCAATTGTCAATTTGCAACAGCAAAGTGTATTGCACAAAAGCAAAAAATAGAATATAAATTCAAATCATATAACCAATTCTAAGTTCTTTGACTACAGTTATTCTGTGTCAGAAACCTTTTATGTGTCAAATATCTGTATCAAGCGCGAATATTGCGTCCATTTTTGCCCCAACTGTTCAGGGTTGGACCTCTGCGGTCGTATCCAGCTGCGCTCGGCAAAGCAATTTTTTTTTTTAAACTAACACTGAATGAATTGTCTTTAATTTTGTCTGATACAATATGTACTCTTTGATTTTGAGAGTGCAGCAAAGAATATTCCTTCCTTGTCTTAATAATGTTTAAAATTTTTAATTAATTCCAAAATGATAAAATAAACAATAAAACAGAAACTAAAGTTTATTTTAGTAGAGAATCGGCAATTGCGATTACAAATGTATAATACTCTTTCTTTTTTTTTCTATTTATTTCCGTATTATTAACAGAGATATACAGTAAATAGGAACAATTAAAAAATATATAATATCACCTTTTGTCCTTTGAATTTCTGTTCAAAAATTTGTGTTTTTCTTTGTAAAATTTATTTTCATTGATGAAACAAGTTATACTAAATATACTGGTGGCGAAAAATTCAGAAAATTAGATTAAGTCAACAATATAAAGAGGTATTTTCAGGTATCAGTAAATGGCTGAAAGGAGTGTTTGGGATAGCTTTCTTGGCTCCAGGGGAAGTAGCAGACTGTTTTGATGAGGATTTCATGACTGTTTTACCTAACGAAAAGCCTTATATAGACTTTGACGATTACTTGACTGAAACTTACATCACAGACGAATCTTTGTTTCTCCCTTATCTCTGGGCCTCACTTCCATCTACGAAAAATAACGTACAAACAATGGACCTGAATCATTTCATGCCCATTATAATGTGCAATTTTATCATAGTCACCTATTCATTTATATTTTTCTTGACACCATTGTCAAATTACAATCTCTGACTTGCATTAAAATTCAGAGTTTGAATATTGATATACCTCCGAGCCGAACAGACAAGGAAAAGGAACAGAACTTGCATTCACGGTACTGCCAGCATGAAATAATGAGGGATTTTTTTTTATGTCAGAAGGTACTCCTTCATCATTCTTAACTTATTTTCACTCAAATGTCCTATACTTCGGTGCTCAAAACTTTTTTTTTTATCGCTCAAATGTTCATTGCCATTTACCTGTAATCAAATAATTCCCACCTAATATACATGTCATACTGTGTAATCATATATCTCTGAGACGTGTGTATATTCAAATGAGAAATTAATTGTCATTTTCTTTTAAATATTTAATCTTAAGAACAAATAATTTCAATAAAAAATATTTGTGTTGATCACAAATTGTTTTCTTAGTTGAAAATCATTATTATAGTTATTGATGGAATGTCATGAAATTGAATTCTTTCTTCAGAAAAAAACAATAAATTTTAACTTTGTCGCTTTATTTTAGTTATATATGAATATATAACGTTACAGAAGTGTGCCTATATGCTAAGGGGTCGTGAATAAAAACGGGGGCTTTGACAGCAATAAATCATTTCACAACGCTTTAAATCACTTCACAACCTGAAAATCTCTCTTTTATATGTCATTCTTAACGACAATTTATATTTTGTTTCGTTTAATATTTAATGTTTAAAATGTTTGTGACGATCGTTTGGAATTATTCTGTAAATTTACATAGCCATTGATATATCTCTCCAAATCCTAGCAAGTCTTGTTTTATCCTGTGGAGACAAGTAATTAGGTCATATCACAAGGAAAAACCTACAAGATTCTAATC